TCACGAGTCGGTGATAATTATGATATGTACTTTATGTAGATTCGTTGCTCGTTTTAGTGCTTAAGTAGTATGCTTTTTTTTATTAGGACAAGAGTAAGCCAAATGGCCATTATTTAACCAATTAATATAAGCAATTATCTTATAAGAAAAAAAAAACTAATATGTATATGAACAGTTATTAAAACTTGTTATCCATTCTGCTAATGTCTTTGTTAAGTGTAATAACTTAATTAGACTTAAACTTAAACTTAATATCTTGTGAGCTAAAAACCGGATAATTTGGTACGTAAAATATCTCATCAATTTTTTATTTAAAAAAGTCATAAATATAATTTGATTTTTTTGTTAAAAAATTATGAAATTGAAGTCTTACATAAACTCTAGTTTTGTTTTGATTTTATAAATTCTTCATTCCATATTATATCATCCTATAATCCAATTAAATTTTCAAATATGCCAAATTTATAGATAAAGGATAATGTTAGTCGTGGGTTATATTATATCATCCACTCAACAGTCAACACACTTATCTTTAAATCTTTAATAGCCAAATGCCATAACCATATATATAGTATCTGTCTAAGACCCAAAGAGGTCACAAAACTACGTACGAAATGGAATCATTGTTACTAAACAGAATTAACATAATGTTTTGAATTATGTGTAACCAAAAAATCCCAAAAAAAAACAAAACTTAAAAAAATATAAATATTGTATAGATAGGTGCTGTCACGTAGACATAAATGTACACACAAAAAAGTGTGAAGTTGCTTTGGAGTATCTTTCACAGTTTGCGGCATACAGATTTGGAACAATACACGTGTCGCGTTTTTGGAGATTTTTGGAAAAGAGCCACTAACAGCGAGCGTTGCGGCGCGTGTTACCAAAGTCTCCACGTGTCTTAAAACTGAGCCACACAACTCACAATATAAGCACGACCCGTGAGATATACATGTGACATATACAGACGAAAATACCAAAAAAAAACTCACGCTTTAAGTTTTTTTTTTTTTTTTTTTTCTTTCAATTTAATCAAATAACTTTTGAGAGCAATGGCTTCGACCTTACAATACCGTTTTTGGTTTATTTTTCTAGTAGGGCAACATAACATATCATATAATTATGTCGATCACAAAGGACTTGTAAATTCTGGTTCATATAAGATTATACAGACATTTGTGATAACTATATGGATTCGAATGGTTGCGCAAGAGTGGATAAATTTCCTTTGTAGATTAGGTTGCTTTTAGTTTATAGTATTATTTATCTGAATTCGGAAAAATAAATCATATGCCAATAGTTTACTATGTTAATTACTTACAAAGTTCATTCAAAATATATAAAATAACTCATTATAATTTATAAAAACAATCCATTAATTAGGTTGTTAGTGCATAAGTTTTAATTGTTAGGAGATTGACTTGAGCCCGTACAGCCGTAGTCCAGTGGTAAGAAAAAATTGGAGAAATGTTGGAAAGAACTAACGCATATTCGATCTACTCTGAAAACAAACATTATGGTTGTGTGAGAATTCTGTTAATTGAAACAAGACCCAGTTGATGTACCTGGAAATCATTAGTCGGAAAGCATTCCAAATTTGGGATAGACAATATAATAATTTTTCGGGAAAAAGTTCATTATAAAGCACTTCCGTGTGTTTCTATCGGAATTAACCGGATCAGCCGATAGGGAGTTTAACTTGAAGTTTACCTATTTTTCATATCGTTATATAATAGTAATCTTTGAAATCTCCATTTCGTATTGTGCCTTTCTTTTTCTTCGACGTCTCCCCCAAAAATGATTATGATGATAGATAGACACAAACATCACTAAAAATGATATAAATTTGTATATGAGTGGAATAACTAGAATAAAAACAATTAATTAACAGACAAACAACTTTGTACGGTTTGAAGAATATAAAGTCGCTGTCTGCGTATATTAATTTTTTTACATGATTACATCCACTATGACAAATTCTTATACTTATTATACATGTATTCGTGAATTATGTATGATTCTGGCCGACATTACATGGTTTTAATACTCTTGTTTATATATATAAAAGAAATATTGTGGGAGGACAGCTCGTTAGAAGCATTAGGAACCAATGGATCGTTTCGGGAGCCCGCCCCCAACTTATTTTTTCCTTTCGGTTTTCAACATCCACAAGAAAGATCACTCAACTACAATACAACAAAGTGTCACGAGACTTGTCTATTTCCAATCTTTGCTATTCAATTATTCATTATTTCACTTGTTTTTTTATTTTATTTTATAAAAACTATGTACATACAAAAGTTTTATGTGTTTTCTTCTTTATCATGCGTCGGCATTTGTATACGTTGGTGTGTTTCACAAATAAAAAATTTAAGAAGCAAAAAGGGTTATTGGTATATAGTGTAATTGTGGTGGATTAGGATAGATACCATCAATCGTTGTTTCTTGATGAATCCAAGAAAATATTTTAAAGTTACATATACGTATAGCTAAAGCAGGGGCGATAGCCCCGTTTTTAAATATCTTTCCTATCTTTCTTACTTCGTTTACCAGCTTGGAATATCACTGATAACCCTTCATATGTCATTCGTTGTTATCTGTTGATTTCCCTGTGTTTGCCGATCACTGATGTAATAACTAAACACGGTTTATAAGTTTTCTCAAGTCACGATTGTGAATACTTAAGTACCTTTCAAAGATCGAATCCATATTGTACTTCCACTAATGTAAGACAACTTTACAATCAATAATAATTTATATGTTTATTCATATATGGATCGAGCTGAAGAACTTGCACCACCTATTTTATTTTTAGTATACACTTTGGAAGAAAAAGTATATAAATCTTCTTAATTTGAAAAAATGCTGGTATAATTTATTAAACTATTAATTTCATCAACATATAATCCAATCCAAACATTATGATTTCAGTATTTGCATCAGGAAAAGAAAAGATATATATTTATTGTTGAGAAATGACTTTAAAACATGGCCTACGAAATTTAAGTCGGCCATGCAAATAAACATGATCCATGTTCTGAACAATATAGCAGCAGTAGTAGTACGAAAGAAAGAAGGTGAACAAAGCAACATTATATTTAATTATTGACAGTGGTGCACACACACATACACACACATCACGAATGTATTCGATCGCAAGATTTCAAATCAATCCTTTCCAACATTATGTGTTCTAATCATTTCGTATTCTTATTAATTAGTTATGTAGATATATCTCTATTGTTTTTCTCATTCCGTTATCTTTAGAATTATCATATTATGTTTACATGCTATGTTTTAATTAATAAGAAATACGTACGTAATTTACGTAAATATTAAAAAAAAAAACTACACGTAAATTACCACACAGGAAAAAAAAAACACTCTACATAACTTTCTTTCTGATATTGTATTGTATACATGGTTGAAGTGGAATGTGTATTAACCCACCAATATTCTTATATTTATACATATTTTTTAAGTTATAGTCTAACTAATTCTTACCATGATATGACGATGCCGTCCAATAAGTCCAATTCAAGATTAAACCCAAAAAAAGTCCAATTCAAGATCTTTTTAGTTTTTTTGATGATAAAGCCAATTTGAGATCTAAAACCCTCACAAAAAATACAAAGATTGTTATACATATGTTCGCGGTAGAACATATATATTCAAACTCTCGAATGCATAAATGTCACAAGACAGCTATTGTTTGATAACGTTGAGTCTTGGTAGTATTACAAATATATTAGGATACTACGAGACTAGATCAAATAGAGTAATGTTCGTTAACTTCTTTTGCTCCTTTTTAAAAATATTGTTTATTTATCAATGCTCTTTTTATGGTTTATTTATTCTTTTTGTCTCATTTACTACATAATTGATCAAAATTATATATATATATATATTATATATCAGTAGTTTAGAAATTTGGTTATATAAAGTTAACGTGGCAACATTTTTGCATGGGGATTGAAGATGAGTAACCATGGTTACTAGTGAACCTTGTACTGACTTGCTTAAAAGTTTCAGTTTTAACTTGATTTCAATTTCAGATTTGAGAAAGACAAAAAAAAAAAAAAAGGCTGGATGCATGAGACTAGCTTAGGAGGACTTTGTAACTAGCATCAATAATAATATGCTGATAAATTTGGATCTTATAACATAAAAAACATGAGATCTCTTGGTCTACGCGAGTTTATATAATGCCGAAAACACAATATATACTTACACCTACTGTGGTAATGTCTCTTTCTCTTCCCCCATTGTTAAATGTATCTCATGATCACATATTACTCAACCAAAAAAAAAATTACATCGTAGAAATTCTGATCAATTTGATGCTTTAAATATTAATTAAAATACTCAAACACGATTAATTAATTAATTAAATATATTTGGATGGTATAAACTAGTTTGAAGATCAAATAAAAATTTCTGTTGTAAAATAAAATATGGTTAAGTCATAGCTCACTCACTCTATGTTCTATAGTTATATAGATTAATATATGTCTGTATATACAAGAATTTTCTCGATAAGCAAGACGGTAATTAAGATTAAAAAATCTACAAAGAAAAACATCCTTAAAAAGATTTGTTTTATTATGATTATAACACTGATTTTCAAAACGTATTCACTTGACCATTCAAAAGTCATATATATCTAAGTATATCAATCCAAACATTAGTCAAAATTTTCGATATAGCTAGATGAAAACATTACAATTTCTTTTAACAAGAAAAACAAAAAAAAAAAAACGAAAGGAGAAAAAGACAATTCGTAAAAACAGTAGAATATTTGGTAACTAAAACCAAAGTATTAGAAAAAACCTCATGACCAAAACACAACAACATAGATAGAACTCAAGAACCAACGAATAATAAACACGTGTCGTCTCCACGGACTTCAAAACTCCATTTGTCTCTCTGTGTGTTCCTCTGCTTTGCTATATAACAGACTCCAAAACTCATCTATCTCTCTTAACTTAACACTCTCTTGTTCTCCATTTCTCAAAGGCTTAGCAATGGCAAGTCTTGGTGGCATTCTCGTGATATACATAATCTCCACTGTCCTCTTTGGCCATTTCACTTACGTGGTACAAGGAAGATATCATTACCACAAGAGTCGTCGTGGCCTCACGCATCCTCTTCCTCCTCCTCCTTCTCCTTCTCCTCCTCCTCCACCACCACCTCTTGAATCAGCTAACCCACCTGATATAGTCCCCTCTGACCCGTACCCGAATCCTAACCCAAACCCGGCTCCGGGAGATTCTGACACAGGGTGCATCTTCGACGTTACGTCCTATGGAGCAGTTGGTGATGGTTCTTGCGACGATACTGCAGCGTTTCGAGATGCTTGGAAAGCCGCTTGTGCCGTAGAATCCGGCGTCGTTTTGGCACCTGAAGGCGGCGTTTTTAAAATCACTTCCACTATTTTCTCCGGTCCATGTCAACCGGGACTCGTATTTCAGGTGAGCTAAAAACATTAAAATGATTTTACATTTTTTCCTAACCAAATTAATATATTAATGTATATACATTCACTAATAATAAAAATGTACCATGTAAATTATGTAAATGTTGACTTTTTTGTTTTGGTTGGGATTGTGAAGTTGGACGGAGTCTTGATGCCACCGGACGGACCAGAAGAATGGCCAGAGAAAGACAGTAAAAACCAGTGGTTGGTTTTTTACCGTCTCGACAGTATCACGTTTGCCGGTAAAGGTACCGTCGAAGGCAACGGTCAAAAATGGTGGGATCTACCTTGCAAACCTCACAGGGTAAAAAAAAAAACATCACTATTTTTGTTACAACAAATTTACATTATAAGTAATTTGCTTAAATTATTAATTAATTTCACATAAGTCGTGGTCGTGACAAAATAAAACATACGACAAGAAACCGTACTATTATTCGTATATACTACAAAATAATTTTCCTTATAAAAACAAAACAAAATTGCTGTCAAATAATATAAATTTGGATTATGTGTGCTTATATAAATTTGACTTACATAAACAAAAATAAAATTGTTATCAAATAAAATAATTTTGGAGCATTATCATTTTTTTCAGGGTCCAAACGGATCATCGTCGTCAGGACCATGTGAAAGCCCGACGGTGAGTATCTAACCAATCTGAACCAAATCTAACAAAAGACCGGTTTAGTTTGGGTTTAATTAGAACTAATTTGTTTTTGGGTTTTGGTTATAGATGATACGGTTTTTCATGAGCAATAACATTGAGGTGAAAGGATTAAGAATCCAAAACAGTCCACAGTTTCATATGAAATTCGACGGATGTCAAGGAGTTCTGATAAACGAAATACAAATATCGTCACCGAAGCTAAGTCCGAACACGGATGGTATACATCTCGGGAACACGAGATCAGTTGGTATTTACAACTCTGTCGTTAGCAACGGTACTGTTTTGTTTTTTTTGGTATCAATCAAATAGTGTTGTGTTGTGTTGTTTAATAAGACTTTGGTTTTAAGAATGTTTTATATTAATTTGGGAATGAAATTAATTGAAAACAGGAGATGATTGTATATCGATAGGAACTGGCTGCTCAGATGTTGACATTCAAGGTGTCACTTGTGGGCCGAGTCACGGGATCAGGTTTCTCCTCTTTTTATATATTTTCTCTTTTTTTTTTTTAAATTATAATAATGATTCACTAAAAATAAAATATTAACGTTAATTTTTTAAAATTTTCGTTTTTTGAGAATTGATTTGATTCCATAAACGTACGATGCCTGTGTTTCTTTTTATTTTATATGGATCACGGATGTTAGCTGAATGATCCATCCACCGGAAATTGAACTTTTCTTACTAGTTGACAAAAAGTTATATATATCGAAACTTGACGCTAGATTTTAATAAAACAAAAGTTATTCATATTCACAAATATTATTTTCCAACTTGAATAAATATTTCGATGCAAAACTTAAAAACTAGTTACTTATATTTTCAAACTTGAATAATAATACCTTTTTAATAATAAATTGGTCCCAAAACTCAAAATTATTGCATGATTCTTAAACTTCTTATCATTGGAAAAAATTAATTATTTTTGGTAGTTTTAAGTATTTTTTCGGCTTTAATAAACAAAAGTTTTTCATATTCATAAAAAAAAATTTGAAGTTGGAAATAAAATTGTATTCAAATTTAAAAATTTTAATTACTAAAATGTGGTCTAAACCTCAAATTGGATATTGTCCTACTTTCCTAGCTACTTAAATCACTGGAAATATCAAAATTTATTATTATTAATATTTTTTCAATTTTAGTTTCGGTATTTTTGTTTATTTACACGTTCTCCCTTTTCAAAACGCGATTTTAACTTCTAAACGCTAAAAACCCTTTAAAAATGTCTCAAAACGCAGCATTGGGAGCTTATGAAAATGTGATTTTAATTTGCTCTTCTGTTTCCAAACGTGATTTTAATTTCTAACCGCTAAAAACTAAAGAAAACGTGTCTAAAAACGCAGCATTGGGAGCTTAGGAGTGCACAATTCACAAGCCTGCGTTTCAAACATAACAGTACGAAACACAGCGATCCGCGATTCCGACAACGGTCTCCGAGTCAAAACATGGCAAGGCGGAACCGGATCAGTCTCGAATCTCCTCTTCGAAAACATCCAAATGGAGAACGTACTCAACTGCATAATCGTAGACCAATACTACTGCCAATCAAAAGAGTGCCGTAACGAGACATCCGCGGTTCGAGTCTTCGACGTCGAGTACCGTAACATCAAAGGCACTTACGACGTCAGAAGCCCGCCGATACATTTCGCGTGTAGCGACACCGTTGCTTGCACGAACATAACGATGTCGGAGGTTGAGCTTTTGCCTGAGGAAGGTGAGCTTGTTGATGATCCGTTTTGTTGGAATGCTTATGGGACGCAGGAGACGTTGACCATCCCGCCGATTGATTGTTTGCTTGATGGATCTCCGGTGGTGGAGGAAGCTTATGATTCGAGTTATGGTTGTTAGTGTGCCACGTGGTTTGTTAAGGTTTTTTAGTTGTATATTGGGCCATCCCTTGTAGGGCCTTTTAGTGGAAGCCTTATTTGTGCGATGAGATTTTTATGGGTTTTTAGATGATGTTGTCTTTATTGGGCTTTTTATTTTTCGTCCATAATATATATATATTTTATCTTTCTCTACCTTTCGTACGATCTTTTTCTTCTCAGTGACGACAGTGAAAAGATAAAACCAGAAGAAAAAAAAAAAAACTTAATATTCGATTTGAAACTCTTTGAGTTGAGAGGAACAAAGTACAAACAAACAAACAGACAAAGACGGCGGAGGTAAAAGTCAAATTGAAGATTTTACAGTAAGAAAGAGAAGAAAACAAAATACTCAAAAAGTAACAATACGGCCATATCCAAAATAACCAAAACGCAACAACTAAACAGCAGACCTCAACAACGATTCTCTTTTTTTTTTTTTGACGTTTTGATCAAACCAGAGATGATATAAGTCACCAGTAAAGACTTATCTATACACACAGAACCTTCTCTTCACTTCATACCACATTGGCTTGTACGATGAAGCATGATTAACTTGACTTTGGAGAGATGATAAAATATAAGGATTCAGATTAAAAGGCCAAACCCGGGGTGGTTTTACTTCTGAAGTGACTTGGTGTCCAGAGGAATGGTGCCGACTGTTACGATTGCAGGAGACTCGGCAACTTTTATGGGTACTGATCTTTCTTTGCCAGTGTCGATGTCATTAGAAAGAGATGCATCAACCACTTCCGGGGGGTCTGTCTTTTTATGAGAGCCAGAGGAGGTCAGCTTAGACTTGGCTTTACTCTTCTGGTTCAGGTGAGATACAGTGGTTGGGTTAGAGTCTGTACCACTAGGGTCAATGGTGAGAGAGCTCATCTTCTTCTGAGTGGAAGAAATATCTTCCTTTTTACCTTCCTTTACAGTGGTAACCTCATTCCCATCTGACTTAGCACGAACCTCCTCATTCTCAGCAGAGAGTACTGAAGGTTTTTTGATGACTTCCAAGGAGTTTTTCTTGTTTCTGTCAGAGAGATCTGGTCTGTGTAAGGGTAAAGGGCTAAGAAAGGTTCTGTAGGGCAGCCTGGTTCTCTCTTCCTGCATGACTCTTTGTCGGCCTTCGTAGTACAAAAAATCATCTAGTAATGAAGTCCTTTCCATATGATCTTTAAATATTTTTAGCACTTCCAGACCTTGTTTCAGCATTATCTGCAGAGAAAAAGAATATATTAGCAAATTCTCCAAATGTGGGAACCTTCAAAGCGTGTGCTAGTAGAAAACTGACCTCTTGTGTGTCTCGACTGTTTGTAACTGGTTTATTCTCATTGTTCTGTAGTATGATGTGCCTGAAATAGCTATTCGGAACATCTTTTATGATGTGCCATTTGACAGGAAAGCTTCCACTCCATTTGTCTTGCTGCCAAAAATCCATGTCTTTATCGAAAGAAACTGGACCAGTCATCTCAGCCATACCACAGAACAAACCACTAGCATTAACCTAAAAATAAAAGCAGTACATCAGAATAAGCTTAACACAAACAAGCTAGCATGTAAGACAAGATAAGGCAAAACTCACAGAAAAGAACAAGAATATCGGGCATTCACAAGACTTCTCGGAGGCTATTTTCTGAGCATCTTCATATGCACTTTGCAATTTCTTGTTCCCATGCAAAGTTGATGACCAGACATTATATTTGATGCTCTTGTGAACATCATCTTCGCTATACGATTTAATCACAAAAAACTTAGCATTACTGAATTCGATTCGGAGATCTTCTTTATTATACTGAGAAGGATTGATCACAATATTCCCATCGGCATCAGCATTTCCAGCTTTTGTTGTATAAGCTTTAACAACTAGTTGATTTCCCAATCCTCTTGATCTTCGACCTCGATTTTGTTCACCAACTCTATCAGGAATTATATTTGCATGGCCACCATACAGCTTGGGCCGAAGATTGTAATTATTTGTTGCATTTTTTGAAGCACTGTCTAATTGTCCAAAAGACGATACTCTGCTACTGGAAACAACGTCAGCAGGTTGAACGCTAACAGAAGTAGATCTTCCCTGCAAAGATGATTACACAAGTCCAGAGTCAAATTCAGAATGATATACAGTAAAACCTCTATAAATTAATACTCGATAAATTAATAATCTCTATAAATTAATAAATTTCTCCGGTCCCAACTTGGGACCACTGTAATTTTAGACACATTTCGATAAAATAATAAGATAATAAATTTTTTGAAAATCCTTTGTAAATATATGATCCCATCAATATTATAAATTAATAATTAGGTAAAATTTTCAAAATATATGTATATATAGACACATTAGTTTTTGTTAGATTTTATTTCTAATATTTTACTATATGAAAAATAGTTAGCATTCTCTTTTAATACATAATAATTATTGTTTTATTTGTAATTGATTATATAAAATACTAATTATCATGATTAAATCTTATTTTTAAATATTGTTTTGAAAATATTTTCCAAATTAGGAATATCTCTTTATAAATTAATAATTATTAATTTATCGATAAATTAATATCTCTATAAATTAATAGATTTTCATGGTCCCAATATTATTAATTTATAGAGGTTTTACTGTATGTGGCTGTAGTGATCAGCAAACTACTCCTAGAACTACACAAGCAAGCATATCAATGTCTAAAATGAGGATCACAGTCATTAAACTAAATTCTTTTCGATTCATCAACCTCCTACTTTCAATATCCAAAATAAAACCAAAACTAGAAATTATTTATACGAAATTATACCTGGGGAGCTTGTCCCGATGACGGGGTAGTGTCACTCTTGTCCATTTCTGGCTGTTTACTTTGTCCAGAGTTAGGCCTTGGCTTGTCTGAAATCTTTCCCAACGAATTTACTGCGGAGAGTTTTGGAGCATTCCTTTGAAGACCACCAGTAGAAGTACCATTTCTATGCCTCGACCCTCTCCCATCAGATCGACCCCAATCAGCTGAACCAGTCTCTACCAAAGAGTTTGTTGAGCTATTCGAGATGATATCAGGTTGAATTGCATACGGAACAAAAGTAGTTGATGTTGCAACACTCTGGTAAGGAGGAAAAGAGTAAAATTGTTGAGGACCAACAAAAGAAGAATCAACACCAATTGTAGCACCCGGAATATAAGGATTGTATGGATTGTAAGGAGACTGTGCATATCCATAACTAGGCGAATAGCATATATAGGGAGAATTTTCATTCTGCCCACCCTAAGGAAACAAAAAAAAGAAGAAGATAGAATGTTAACATAGTAAAAACATATAGAAGAAATCAACTCGAAATGAGAAGTTGTTGTGCCCAAATTAGTACCGTGTATTGGACTTCAGAACCATCTACACCAAAAAACATCTGATGGTTCTCCCAATCACCGGGTGACTCATAACCTGAAAATTCAGAAAATTAGGAAACTCAACACCTTAAAACCAAGAGGATATAGAATTGATACCATGAATCCAACTAATTACCTGTACAGTAATAGCCATAAGTGGCATCAACGGGGTAATACATGCTCTGGTCAGCAATAGGGGCTCCTTCGGAGGTATACATTGCTTTTTAACTTATCAAAGAAATTTTTTAGTCAATGGAGTTTGAATAAACACCTGAAATTGAAAAAAAAGGTATAACATGAGCAATTGTGAACATTGCTGAAAAGAATTAAGGTCAAGCTAAAACAACAGGCATGACGATGAACACAAAAATAAAAATTTGGAATTTTTCTTGCAAAACAAAAGTTCCCGAACTATTGTAAAGTATCCCAATCAAACCAACAACACTCAAATTCGAAAACGAAAAAAGAACCCTAAATCCAACGTACGCGGTACAAACAACAATGAAAATTAGATTGACGGAAACGAAATCCCAGAAAAAAAAAAACTTTCACGAAGATGCAAATTCACAAGACGTTCCTTACGATGATGCCATATCAATCCCCAAAACACGTAATTTTACATACGACGAAGCTAATTGCTTATCATAATTCGAACGCAAAGACGAATACACAAGAAGAAGAAAGGGTAGCAGTAGCAGAAATTAAAAATTTATCAGGTTACCAGAAATTTGAGAGAATCACGACATGCTTTAGCCTACGAAGTTCTTCGAAGAAGAAGAAGAAGAAGAAGAAGAAGAAGAAACGGCGAAGGGGATATAGAACAAGGCTTATGAAGAGAGGCTTAGCGGCATGAGTTGAACAAAATAAAATTAAAACCTCTGCAGAATCGAAACCCTAACCCTAGATTGAGAGAAGGGGGTTGGAGAGAGAGAGAGAGGGAGAGGGAGAACGAAGAGATCCGAAAAGTTCAGAAAAAAAAATAAAATAAAAAAGGGAGAAAACCTGAAGACGCGCAAAGGCAGATTCTTTAGCTTTGATGCAAATACGCTGCGTTTTTTCAACGGGTGAATCTAGTTATATTGACTTGTCCTTTTGAAAAGACGATTATACCCTTGTCGTTGACCAAAACCATAACTGGTGCCCTTGTCGTTTTATTTAAAATTTTACCCTTTTATTTTCCTAATTTCTAGGATGAATAAGCTACTAGACAAGAACAAAGTCTAAACCATAATTAGTAACGTAATCATAATATAAAATGGTTAAAAATCATAATTCGTAACAGTAAAATTAGTCAGTTACAGTTGTATTTAAAACTCTTAAAAATACAATTATTTTATTACAAATTTTGAATGGTTTAATGTGCATTAAATATTAGTTATGGTTTAATTTTAAATGATTACGGAATCTAATCTATTCCATTAAATATTTTCTATCAATCAAATCATAAGGTTGATTTATTTAAATTACTGACTTATGATCATTAATTTAATTATTTATAAGTCTGTTTAATTAATTTAAACTCATGATTATTGTAAAATAATCATAATCAACTTATGATTTTTAACCATTTACCGGTTATCGTTGTTTCATTGATGGTTCTTGAAAGGCCACAGATAAATTTGCAGGTTTAGGATGGGTCTGTCAGCATGCTCAGGAGTCTTCCCCGTTGATGGGCGCCTCAAATTTACGACGTAGTCTTTCTCCCCTTCATTCCGAAGTTGAAGCTCTGGTATGGGCGATGAGATGCATGATAGGTCATGACTTCAGAGATGTTATGTTCCTGACGGACTGTTCAGATTTGGTGAAGATGGTGTCTTCTCCAACCGAGTGGCCGGCGTTCTCTGTCTACCTCGACGACATCAACACTGATAAGGAAGAGTTTTCAACCTTTTCTCTCTCTCTCTCATTCCTCGCAGCTTGAATGGCATGGCGGATTCTTTGGCGCGCAAAGCTCGTTCATGTCCGCAAGTTTTGAAACAAGTCTGCTTAGACCCTTCTATTTATCTATGATCGTTTGATTATAGTTCTCTTGTTGACAAAAAAAAAAAAAATCATAATCAACTGTAAAATAAATAACTATTTGATTCTACCAGAAAAAAATTATTTAATATATCATCGTTTTATATTTATTACAAAGATTAAGAAAATATAAAATTTCATCTTTGTTGTTAACTGTATCTTAATCATCAAATAATCATAAGTGTATTTAAATACAACTGTTCAAACTGTAATCGTATATGACCATAACTATTTCAACCGTGGTTAAAGTAATAGTTAAAAATAATTATACAATAACCAATGATTAATAAACCTTAACCGTCATAACCATAACCATCCATGATCACACCTAGATGGAACATGAGAGACAATTTCATTATTAAACACTACAAATTACAAAACAAAAAAAAATCCAGTAAACAAACTACGGAAACTTTGATTAAGAAAGGTAAATTCAAGAAAAAGGTTTACACACTATAGAGAATAGACTAATTAAACTCTTTAACATCTAAGCTTTAATTAGCAAACCGGATCCGGTTAAGATGGATTTGACCAGCTAGGCTATTAGGACCACTGTACATTGGCTTTGAGGACACATCCAAAGCGATTTTGCTGCTCATCATCTGCAAATCAAACAAGAGATAACTCAGAAGTGTGAGATAAAAGAGTTTGGATTAATGTATTAATCATTTGTAAGTCTTCTTGCTCATGGCAAGAAAATGCGTATGTTGGAAATGAATTGTTGCAGAACCTGTAAACCGGAAATTAACCACAGAACCCTCTTAAATAAAATCAATAGAACCACAAATGTATAAACGAGATAGTGTTTTTTTAAGGGTGTGACTAGTGAGAGGCTAAGGGTGCTTGCAAGCCTAGATAGGTTAAGAAGAGAAATTCTATTTACCTCAGTTGGAAAGGAGACCGGTGGAACGAGATTTCACGAGTCCATATCTTTTGGAACCGAGTGTGACTTGTCAAGAGAAACCTTATTCTTAATGTCAACAGCACTATTAACCTTCTGTTGGGGATCTTCATTAGAATCAACCATGTGTCTTTTCTCAGATGACTTACGCTTAGAATAGGTAACCAGTTTGACTACTCTCTCTGGTTTGTCTGCAGACTCTCCATAATCCTTATTCTGAGAAGATTTCGTAGTATTTGTAAACTTGTCATGACATATCACTGGCTTGCTTGTTAGACAATCGGATAAACTGGTACTGTCAGCGTTTACTCCACCATTTACAATTCTCGGATCAGAATCAGCAGCACATGTAGTCGTATGTCTCAACTTCATAGTAGAACTATCCACATCTTCACTGGGCGGCTCTGCATTATCGAGTTTGTCGGTTGAATGTTCCAACTTCTCAGCACCATCAGTGGCCATGTCTCTGTTTCCATCTGTCGAGCATTCAGCTGTACCGTTCCTTATAATCTCAGTTTCTACACTGTCCAGTTTCTCATCATACGTAATTTCTAATTCCACTCTAGCATCACCAGTGGTGCTACAGTTATCTACTCTTGGTTGGGCATCGCGAGCCTCGTCTTTACTTATTACATTATTTGACGCCTCAAGTGAGTCGCTTTTTCTTCCTTCTGCTTTCTCTTCTGAAATCTTCATAATGTCAGAGGATTCTACGTTATCTTCTTCTCCAATTCTGGTGGATTCGTACTCACCAGCAATTTCATCAGTTACCATTGGTACAATGTCCACGGTTTTTTCTGTTCGAGATTCTACGGATTTTCCAGAATCAGGCCTATACAGATCACAAGCTGCCTGCGGTGCCAGATCTGTAACTTTAGGAGTACTAGATTCTAGCTTTTCATCAGTTCCCCTAGCTACAGATGTACCTCCTGTCCTGCTGCATGATTCCGGTTTTCCAACTGTATCAGATAAATCTTTAATAATCTCTGGAGATTCGGAATGGTAAGCTTCTTTGGAACCATTTTCAGTCTTCTCCGAAGAATCAACCATATCTTTATCACTAGCGGATAGAGTTCCAAAAACTGTAACTTCATCAATTCTAGATTCTGAGTTTTTGGAATCGACATCATCTTTTTCATCCACTTCCATCTGTTCAGAGAGATCCATGGACTTATATTCCACATTTTCAGAAGATATTAAACTCTCTTTGTCATCAGCCGCTGAGGATGGTGAATTAAAAGAATTAGTAATATTGTGTACTAAAGTACTGGGTGAATGGATCAATCTTCTATAGTCGTAGTACGCCTCAACCTGCAGATATGAGAACATATTAAGTAACTAAGAGATATTGAAATTAGGATTCTCGTAATTAGCAGTAGAATTACCTTTGGTCTCGGTGATACTGCTTCAAGCGGTTGAAATTTAAGCTCCTCACATTCGGGGATTTGTAAAATTATGTAGGCTGCTTTGTTGTTGTGTCTCTCCTCTGTGTCCTACAAACGAGACAACATCTACAAGATATGAAAAATTCTGCCAGCAAGAAATTAAATTAATATGAAGATAGGCAAGTGGAAATTTTTAACCATTTTGTTGAATCGGAAGATCTTAAGACAGGTTGAATATAGCCAATACGAATATCCGGTAGAGCATTACCTGAAACTGAGGATGATCAGGAGCACTGCACAAAGTAATGAGCCCTTCATGGTCTTTTGCATACCCTTCATTCATTGGTGCAAGATCATCTCGTTTTGCCCTTTCATCGGGGGCTCCCTTCCCTCTGATGATCAACTGCCATACAAAAAAATAACATCATGAAAGCTGAAGGAGTAACAGACAAACCTCAGAAATATACAAAAAAGAACGAAAGTGTTCTGATTATATCCTAAAAGCATATGGTTGATTGCCCACTCAATTCTTCTATCTACTCCTCAATGCTTCTAAGAGCAATCTTTTAAAACAACATTATTTTCACCAAACTGATCAATCTAACCTTTAGATCATTATCTTGTAGGAACTTTGCGGTGCAATCAGGACCCCACAACAAACCAATACCTCTCTCTTTGTTAAGAAAGAGGCCAGTTTCTTGCGATGGATCTGACCAAAGAATGTCACCAGGAATCAAATTTGAACCTTCAGTAGGAGGATCTATAACACGCCTTTTCACTTTGGATAAATCCTTTAATGAACCAAGAGGCAAGAACTCGGATCTATCTTCAGTCTCAAGGACACTATTATCTGTTTGCTTTTTCTGAGTTCGCTTTCGTTTTCTGCTTTGCTTGTCTGAGAGAAACCTTGATACATCACGAAAAAGACCTCCATGTGTTGTAAATACCTTCCCAGCAATCACAGAAGCCAAAGGAAGTAACTGAAAGCATTCCAAGCACTTCTTGTAGACAGCTGCTCCTTTATCACCATACTTAGTTAAAACTTCATTTTTAAATCCATACAGTGATGTACAACTTTCGCTCTCATGACTGCCACGTAGAAGATATACTCTTTCCGGTAGTAAAACCTAGAAAAAGATGAAGCACCTACTGTTAAAATGTGTTGTGGCATGACTATTATAGCTGTATAATAGCAGATTATGTCTCGGCGTTCTATGCTCCACAGACCCAAATTAAAGAATAATTAGATTACCTTCCATGATAATAGAAGCAAGAAGGTCTCTAAACCCCACGCTCCTTTGTTTACATAATTCCCATTGAACACATAGAACTGATCACCATTTGGGAGTCCTGCATCACCATTCGGGAATCCTGCATCCTCCATAAGGAACAGCAAATCATGTAGTTGCCCATGTAGATCTCCAACCACAACGACCTTTGCTTTGTCACTCTCTATCCTAACGCAGTTTGGCTCTTTTTTCAGGATTTTGGAAGCAAAGAGAACCAGCTCATCCAAGACATTAAAAGGCAGAACACTTGAAAATTCACAAGGTGAAAGATTCCTCGACGACCAATCAAACCCCAACATTACATCACAAATCCAACTGAAAGTAAGCTTCCCTCCTGACGGCCAGAAAAGAGGTTTCTGGGAAACTGATCGTAAAGACTGCTCACATCCTATATCCTGAACATGTGGCATCATTTCCAAAGGTTCCGCTGAGAGACCATCATCTATTCCCATTTCATTCAAAGGTACGCATACCATTTCTCCAGACATCGGCTTTTGAGGTATTATTGTAGGTATAGATTGAGGTAACATCAAAAATGGTCCTGGAGTTGGAGCTTGAGCAACAGAACCTATAACAAAGGAATTACTAAAGTTAAAAAAATAAGTCTCCACAAAACTTGTGAAGGACATGAACATGTAACATGATTTGCAGATATAAATAACTGGGATATCCATACCATGAAAGCATGATTTAGTTAAGTTTTATCTTACCATCTAAGGAGAAAGGAACATTTGATCTACTATTCTGAATTCCTTTCTTCTATTGATTACAAGCTAGCATCACCAAGTCACTGAATGTTTTAAGTAAAAAAATCACTAAACAAAGGAACTGTAGCCTATAATTACCCTACCATTAGATAATGAGCCTAAAGGCGCATTAAGTTGAAGGGCGCCTGCACACATATCAACAATATCTTGTAATGTTTGCCTCGCAGTATCAACAGTAAGTTCCTCTTCAAGTGAAGCCTTAGAGCGAGCATGAATGGCTGCAACCCTCTGAACCTGCAATTTATATTGGGCAGTAAATTTAAGTAAGTTAATAACCATAGTGTTATGATGTTGGCTTGACCATAAACTTACAAGCACTTGGAAAGCAAAACCAGTGGGTAGAAATTGCCCAGGGCGCCTCTCGTTCATAGGACTAATAATTCTTCTAGTAATTCTGCGGTACCACTCCATATAAGGATCATTATAGTCCATCGGGATACACTCTGGCTCAGCGAAAACAACAGATGACCTACGTGCCTCCCACAATTCAATATGTCGACTATGACGTGCTGACCAATCATATATTGATTTGCCTCTTTTGTCAATAGAATGAAGAGCTTTTTCATTATCACAAGGTGCTGGTATTGTTTGGTGAAGACCAAACTGTCTAAGTACTCGATCAGGACGATGCCACTCAACAACATCAAAACAAATCAATGGTGCAACAGTTCGCCATATGTTCTGACCACTGAGACATATAACAGGAATCTTTCCAAGAAGATCTGGAGTGTAAGGCTGCCATATAACCTACATCCAAATCATAAAAGAAAATCACAAGTCGTTTACCATATCAGAGATCTTTTGATAAATTATTCAGGGGACTATGGAAAATAAAGAAGTTTGCCTGATAATCTACCTAAATTATGGAAATTAGTATTACAATACCATTTTGGATATCCTATCACTGCACAGTATAATACCTATAATTGCTATAAGAGACCAGTACTTGCACTGTAGGCGTTTCTTATTTAAATTTAAAGGATAGGTCACTATGGATTTTACAACATAAATTTTCATTACTGAGAAAGAAGATAAGTCCTTTAATGCCAAACAAAAGTTGTTGTTGTTTTTTGTGCAACAACAAAAGTTGTTTAAATTGTATCAACTCTCAACAAATGCCTAGTTCGTCAAGATTAGGAGTTGGTCTGTAATTTTTCCTCCGCTTTCCTAAACTCAACTATCAAAGCTTGGTCATCTAGGCCATTATTTAATACCTGCTCATCTTTCTGCTGGTCAAACTGGTCCCTGTAAAAGTCCAGTCCTCCACGAGGATTCTCTTTATGACTCAGAGAAGCCCTCCACCTAGCTTTCAAGTAGTATCATAAGCAAACCGAAATTGGAATTAACCTTGAAAAAACAAAATATGATAAATTTCATTTACCTACAGCCTAATGGATCTGGTAAAGGACCATTAATGCCATCCATATAAGAAACACCAACAGCTTTAAGTCTTCCTGGACGACCAACATGTAGTCGTTCCCATGCCCATAACTGCAACAGAACAAGAGGTCCACAAATGGTAGATACAGTCCTCTTACTTGCCCGACACAACTCTCTGTAGAGAAGAGCTAAGGTAGCACTACCCCAGCTTAGTTTAGCCACTTCATCAAAGTCCCTTAACAGAGGGAGAAACGTCAAAGCCACATCATGTTTAGACTTATCTCCGTATAGGAAACCACTCATCAGAGCTAATACAAAAGCCCTAGTGTGACACTTCAACGTAGCTTCATCAGGTTCACTAGGTAAATTCCGGAAATTTTCACGCAGCCATGCTAGAGACACATGAGAACCATGTAGATCCTTGGGACCTGGCCTCTGACCTAGCAGGTCCTCACATAAATCAGCCCAGACGTATTTTGTAGTACCAGTTACTGCAGGTCCATCCACACGAAGACCCAACAATATATTCACATCTTGTAAAGTCACAGTGATCTCTCCAGCAGGAAGATGAAAAGTATGCGTTTCTGGTCTCCATCTCTCCACCAATGCTGTTATCAAAGCATAGTCAAGTTGTATAAACGCAACCTTGTACACTCCATACAGCCCAAACTCGATCAACTTCTTACACACAAGAGGATCCAAAGGCCAATCTCGCATCCCCAATAATTTGTGCCGACATGTCAGTTCACGAGGAGGAACCTGAAATGTGAAGTAAGACTCAACGATTTAGAACAAAGAAATAAATTAACACAGGAAGCAAAATGATGAATGGCTAACTAGTGCACACCTCATCTTCCCATATAGCAGCTGATCTATGCTCATGTTGCCATACCAATATCGATTGATCAACTGGACCAGGATCCAAATCAAAGTTTAGTAGACTTTGTACCTCCATCTACATAATATATCACAGGACAACAATACAATGATCAAATGAATATTACAGTATAAACAAAACTAAACAGTTATAAATTCAATTAAATACTTCTCTGAGTACTCTAGCATTTTGACAAATTGAACTAAAGCACGAATTATGTATGAGTAGCAAAATTTCAAAAGATGCAAGCTTCTAATTATGTTCCTAATTTGAACACAACAAACCCTAAACTGGTACGAGAGACAAATCATCTTTCATCCCACACAAATCATACTTGTGGATACAGACACGAAGAACAGAATCAAGAAACAAGAACCCACAAAAACAATCGAAAAACAAAAAAAGTTCCAAACTTTGATAAAGACAAGATTAACATGAACAAAGTCTGTGGGTATGAATTAGAATCAAGAAGACGTACCTAAGAAAAGCGTCCGTGATCAACAGAAACCAAAAAAAAAAGAGACGTTTGAAAAGAAACAAAACCAGAGGAAGAAGAATGTAATAAGCTAAGAGAGAAGAAGCGTTAAGCGGGAGAGACAGAGAGACAGACAGAGAGAGCTTCCAGATCCGACAGAAGTTTTCGCCTTTCTTCCTTCCCTTAACCAAAAAAGCGTTTAAGAACTTCTGATCCTTCTAGGTCTGTCCGAGGATCTGATATTTTCACGCAAACGACATCGTTTTAAACCAAAACTTATTCACAGGCCCGTTAACCATAATCTCGGCCCAAATTAAATACGACGGCGTTTCGTTTCGAGTGTGGAAAGGATACAAAATTACAAACACTTGAGTTCGTGCGTCGTCGCCGTAGTTAGAAAAAGAGTTGTTTTTATTAGAAGTTTGAAGATTGTACAAGACACGTGGCGTGAACCCAATTCGTAAAGATGCCACGCGATGCTCTTTTGCATGCACCTCATTTGAACATCATCAAGTCTCTCTCTCTCTCTCTCTCTCTTTTTCTGACTTTGATCGACGAACCTAACCCGCTTGTGATCTCCTATTTAACCGATCAATATCAACTCAGTTTCACCATACTACTACATCCCATTAACATCAATACAAATATATTCATTTATAAATCACTGTAAAAATATGCCAGGGATCACACTAGGAGACACGGTGCCGAACCTAGAAGTGGAGACGACACATGACAAGTTCAAGCTTCATGACTACTTCGCCAATTCTTGGACCGTCCTCTTCTCTCACCCCGGTATGTATAGATCCTGATTCAACCGGTTTAGTCCGGTTATCGTAATACATTTTTTGTTGTTACAATTCTTGATTTTTGTGGACGGACAACACAGGGGATTTCACGCCCGTATGCACCACGGAGCTGGGTGCGATGGCCAAGTACGCTCATGAGTTTGAGAAGAGAGGCGTGAAGCTCCTTGGTTTGTCTTGTGACGACGTACAGTCTCACAAAGACTGGATCAAAGATATCGAAGCCTTTACGGTATAACTTAGATGATCTTATGCATGCATACCAAAACTATTTAATGATATCATGATCATATTTTGGTTTGTGAGTAATTTGTGACATATATGTAATATAGCACGGAAGCAAGGTGAAGTATCCGATAATCGCAGACCCGAACAAAGAGATCATTCCTCAGCTTAACATGATTGATCCAATCGAGAACGGACCGTCTCGTGCCCTCCATATCGTTGGCCCTGATAGTAAGGTAATATAATGTCACATGTTATTTGCATATACGTATGAATTCATCATTGGTTTAATTGTTGTTTATTTGTGTGATATTATATATAGATAAAGCTGAGCTTCTTGTATCCGTCGACCACGGGACGTAACATGGACGAAGTACTTAGGGCTTTAGACTCATTGCTAATGGCGTCCAAGCACAATAACAAGATCGCCACTCCCGTTAACTGGAAACCGGATGAACCGGTTGTGATTTCGCCTGCCGTGTCGGACGAAGAAGCTAAAAAGATGTTTCCTCAAGGTTTCAAGACCGCTGATCTTCCTTCAAAGAAAGGCTATCTCCGTCACACTGAGGTCTCTTGAGAGATTAACAAAAAAAAACAAAAGCCTAATTAATAAATAACGTAATACGAAAAAAAAAAAATAAAAAAAAATAACGTAATACGAGTATTGTATAATAAATATTAGAGTTCTTACGTGTTGGACGGAAATAACTACGTTTTGTAACGTATGATGATGCTTTGTTTGCACTTTGCACTAGGTGTAGTAGTCCTTTGTATTAATAAAAAAGTTTGTTTTTAATATAAAGTCGTGTTTTACGACGTTTTTACTGATCCATTGGATTATAACCAAATTTTCAATCGTCCATTTTGAATTCAGATCAAGAATTAAAATTATTATATATTTTTAAAAGAGAATTGAGTTTATGAAATTGCAACCCTCAATTTAAAATATCCAAAGTGAAACGTAATCAGTTAATCGGAACTTAAAAGAGATAAAAATAATCGGAGATATGGAAATTGGAAACCGTATCAAACCGAATTATAAACCGGAACTAGATTAAAATGTCTAAACCGGGGGAATTAAAGTAGAGTATACGACACCGTTTAAGTTAATTCGCAATTTCGCATATTCACCGGTCGTTATATCGTCGATTCATCATCGTCGTCGTCGGCGACTGTAATTATCTTCTTCTTTACGCCCCCATCGATCTTCGATAACTGTTCATCTTATCGATACGCCGGTTAAGATCTCATCGAGAAACTGTAAGTAAACTCTATTCCCCCTTCGATGTTTTGCTTGCTGGATCGATTTATTTACTTTCTTTTGGATCCGTTTGTTGCGAATTTCTAATGGTTTTGTCATGGATTTATCGTGAATTGGTGAATTTTTTGTGTGTCTATGTCTGGTGTACTGTGTAGATATTTCAGTGCTAAGCTTCTGAGGAACTATTTAGGATTTGTTTTTTTTCTTACCTCCTCTGATGTTACGTGATCAGATTTAGAAGAATTTGAATTCTTGGAAGCTAACACAATTCTAGGGATTAGGGTTTAAGTTTGGCCTCAGTAACTGTGGGAAATTCTTAGTTTTGCTTAAGTTCAGATAGGATCTGATCATATCAGAAATTAGAACTTGTGTTTATGGTGTTACGAGTCAGATGATTTTCAATTTCTTAGAAGGTCATATCTCTTAGGATTCAGGTTTCTCTAATGAATATATGTGTGATGTTTGAGTTCCTAAACTGGGGAAGTCATATTTTTTTTTATCTTAGTCAGAGGTCAGTGTTGTAGACTACAAATTGATCAACTGGGTTTTAGTATGATGGTTTCAGTTGTTGTATAATCTTCCTGAGCTGTTTCAGACTGTGCCAGTCTCTAGCTAGTATGCAAATCTGTTGTCCTGTGATGTTTTGAAAGCATGCATGCGTCTTTGTGTTAGTGAATCATTACACACTATGAAACTATGAAAAGTCATTCTCTTTGTTGAGACCCCATATAGTAACAAACTCATTGCTATTACTGATATTGCTCTTGAGGATTTTGTATTGATCATGATATCTACGAAACAAAATTCTGAATGATTCACTGATTTATTAGTTGTTTATAGTAGGCTCGCTGAGTGATTTCTTTTACATGATCTACAACTTCTAGGGGAATGTTGTGAATTTGTGATCACATCTGCATTTCTTTTCTGCTATGCTTAAAACTCTTTTACAAAATTTTTTTAATTCAAGGACAAATGAAGCATATAATAAAGATCTTGAGCCTCTTGGTGGCAATCTCTGCCTTCTGGATTGGTCTTTTGCAGGCTGCAATTGTTCCTCGAAGCCACACATGGTTGGTGAGTAACAAACATCTTTGTCTTTTTCTTGTTTTCTTGTTATTTTGAAGTTAGGATTGTATTCTAATTTGGTAATGTTGCATGTCTGTCTTATAGCTACCAGTCTACTTTGTTGTATCCCTCGGATGCTATGGTCTACTAATGGTCGGAGTCGGGCTTATGCAGTTTCCTACATGCCCACAAGAAGCAGTTCTGTTGCAGAAGGTACTTTTGAGTTTTGAGTCATTTGCCAAATTTGTTCCTGTTCTTATTTTTTCGTTCTGCCCAATTTGGGTTTAATACTACACAGTTCAGTGTTATTTATTGTCGGCATTTAGGATGTTTTGATTTAGTGTATTTTGCCTATTTCATTGGCTGCAGGATATAACAGAGGCCAAAGACTACTTCAAGCACAAAGGGGTCGATGTTGGATCGGACTGATACAAAGGCTTATAACGACCAACATTCAGAAATAGTTTTTGTAATTGAAAAAGACCTTAAACGTACTGTTTCGATATTTTTTTAACATGAACAGTGTTTCAGAAGTAAAACGCAAAAGCTTATGTATCCAACCGCATCACCAAAGTATAATGTTCTTTTCTTAATCATTCTTTCTTGTCTAATGTTTATGGATGCCGGATGGTGCCATAGAAAGTAAGCAGAGTGATTAAACTAAGAATAACTTAGCGTGAAGAGACTATCTTGTATTGAAACATTGTTACACCTGCAAACACCTTTGTGTTCTTCTCAGTAAGCTGTAGAGATTAAAAGACATAGGATCTGATGCGAGGAGAAAAAAAATGACACAGAACGAGAGGGCTTGTTTATCTCTTCTTCTTGCCACCTTTGCCTGACTTTGAAGAAGTTCCAGAGGTTGAAGTCGTGGCCTGAGGTTCCTGCTTCTTTGCTTTCTGAGATTCTTGCTTCTTCACTCTCTCTGGATGTCTTGGTACCAACTCTGCAATTTTCTGCATCAGTTGCTTCCCTACAAATATATATCACCACAAGGAATATACATCATATGTCTGTAGAAAAAACTTGTAGGTAGATGTAAAGCAGCAAGCCAAATGAATATTCATTTATTTTACTCTTTCCTGGACATTGGATAATATCAAAGTAGATACAAACATCTAAAGAACCAAAAAATTGTAAACTGGTTTTGTTACATCACTTAAATATGCGTGTTAAAAGCTCCAGCTATTTAGATGCAATCGTATCAATGCAAACACAAAGACATCAGAGGTCTTGCAGTTAGCCAAAAAGTACTTAAAATTAAAAATTTCAGTATAGCTTATTTCTGAATCTGCCGTGATCAAATGCAACAATACCAACTTAAGAAATTCAAAAATATAGCAAAATGAACTGATAGAGAACGAAATAGATAATCAGATTAACTTAGCAATGCTGCATAAGGTGATGTTCCAGTAACAATATCATAACAAACATAAACGTCTAAAAAGTCAGACAATTGCTACAATCTGAAGTTCCATATGCATAAGATCTATATGTACATAATATATAACAACTTGCTTATCCATATGAGATTCTGGTAATCATGATTCTGAACATAAATGAAAAATTTAGGGATTACTGAAACAGCTAAAAAAGCTGCCAAATCAAGGGTTGAGATTGGTGGGGTGATATGATGAGATAAAAAATAAAAGCAGTCAAAATAGCAAATCACAAAACAATTCGAAGTTCATATGAGAGACCAGAGTTGAATACCCAACTGCTGTTTAAGTAATAAGCAGGCTGGTATCAGGAACCATTAGCAGGTTAGTTAAAAACATTCATGCATATGTAACAAGGAGAGATCTTAACAACAAAACAAGATCAAGTACAGAAAATAAAGCAGATTCCATGTTAGTGCTTTCTATGTCCATGAAAACTGGTTTCTGATTTCTAGTCAGGTACAAAAAACTGCAAGCTCAATTCAATTGATCACAGGGATAACACTATAAGAAATCACAAAATACAAATGTTCTACTGTGAGTGGAGATAGAACCAAGAATGGGGGTTTGAGGTCTTACTTGAAGTAATAGCTGGATTGAGTAAAGTCCCATCCTCCCTTTTCAACTGCACTCTCACTCTCCCTACTTGCATGAAATCACGCGGGTACGCTTTGTCAATCTGAAATACCGTAAGACCTCAAATCAAAAACCGTAAACACAAATCAAAAGACATAGACAACATTTTCACATTAATCCAATCAAACGAAGGATTACCTCGACAGCACTAGGGAGTTTCAAATGCTTGCAACAATCACTAATCTCAATGCAATTCGGATTCTCACATGCTTGACTCACACTGATCCTTCTTCCCTCAGCTACAGTTTTCTTTGAGTTAATATAAACTGGATACACCACTACCCATTTTTTGATATTGAGCGCTCCACTATCCATCTACACAGAATTAAAAACACATTAATTCAAACTTTTAAACCCAAAAAAGTATTCATCTACAGATCAAGATGAAACAGAACCACATAGATTAATGCAACTCTTAAACCCTTTAACAAGGTCAATGTGTTACAACATTATCGTTAACTGCTCTCAATGACAGATTAGATTGGATTGAAAACACCCAAAATCTGAACTCAAGAGTTGAAAAATCTAGAAACCCATGACCTAATACGCGATTAGTCTCACAGATCTGTTTCGATTTCCAGGGAATTGTCAAGTTTCGAGTCCCCAAATCGTGAACATGCGCAAGAAGGAAGATAACTAATTTAATTCTTACTTGTCGCTTAATTTAACGAAGAGAGAAGATAAACAAACCAGGGAATCAGATTCGGAAAATTCAAAGCTTTTTGGACTGAGACTGCTCGGATCAGAGAATCGTATAGCCGGAGAAGAACAACGAAGAAGAGAAAGAGAAAAATTCTCGGTTTGAGATTTTACGTTTATTAACCCTCGCAATGATTTTGACTTGCTTAATAACCGTAATCTGAAACATTGAACCGTAGAAAACCGGATTAAACCGAACAAAATTGAAATCGATTTTGGTTCGTCTGTTCTAATAAAAGAGACCTGACTTTTTTTTTTTCTTTCGGACTTCAGAGACAATGGAGACTGAATACGACCAAGTTCTTAGCTCCGTTGCTCAGGTGAACATCGCCGAACAAATCGTAGATTCCGGCGACGTAGGTAGCGACGGAGACGGTGTTAAAGTCTTGTGCTTCACTGAAGTTTTCGATGATGTCACGATCCAGTTCCAGATCATCCGTCTCGCGAAACAGGTTCCCGCCAATAACTTAGCTTTAATCCTTTTTAACCTAAATCTCAAGTCTTAGATCTTCATCGGAGCTAAAATTTTCGGCTTAATCGTACTGTAGATTTATGTATGGCTTGGCTGTAACTCCGCCAAATTTGGGAATTTGTACGCAGCCGCTTCAACACGACCAGTGAGTTTCTAAAGCTGCAAATTTTATGGCAATTATGGATTTCAGTGCTCTGAATTGGGAATTTTGTTTTTGTTTCTAATGTCAGAGCAATACAGTGAGTGTTACTTCAGTACTTGGTGGAACATCTGATAACACTGGATCTGGCATTGCTCGTAGATTAGGTTAGAATCTAATTGCAAATTTCAAATCCTTCTCTTTCTTGTTGCTACAGTTATAAATTCTCTGGTTTATGTTGTTGTGTGTTCTAGTGATGAAGACTGGTCTCAATATAATACTGGCTTGCAACATTCCTAAAAACAATCCCTTGCTTGAGGTTCGTTGTTTCGCGATTTCTATATAGTAATGAGAAAGAAACAAGCTTTATTTTGACAGTACTCATTTTGATTTTCTTATTTGTGTTGTTGTGTAGGCAAAAGCTGAGAAAGTGTTGATTCGAAAGCTGATTGATCTTGGTTACACAATGCCAAAACCTGTAAGAGCAACATAGCCAGTTTAGATATTTCTTTTGAGTTTGTTTCTCCTCTTTGTTTAGGTCCTTACCATTTATCTGCTGAAATTTTGTGAATGATTCTAACATATCTAAGATCGAATGAGTTTTCTTAAGACTGTATCTTCTCCATATTCAAAGAGTTGGTTCCTTTATCCCTGACTTTCAAAATGTGTTTTTGTTCTCTTCCTCTTCTTGTCAATTTGGCCTGTCTGTTTCGTCGCCCAAATTTGGAAGCTATGTGGTGATGCATTATTTGCATGCTTGATCTTTTTTTGTTCTGTAAGCAAGGCAAATCCTTAGGACAAGCCAAAGTGTGTAACTATGATTGAACCATTCCTCTTTCCCTCTATATTTGTCACTTGCAGACCAGACCTGTATTGATAATCTTACCATAAAAAAAATTATGTGTGTATGTTGATCACACTTGTAGATAAATCAACTTACAGTATTTGGATTTTGAGTAATCAGAACAGGGTTACCAAAACCGGAATTTCGAAATTCAGTTCGGTTTCAGATTTATACGTCACCAAATTACTTTAGACGTGTTTTAGGTTTCTCGGTTCGGTGTGGTTTGGCTTTTAAACCTAAACTTAACCAAAAAAAACCTAAACTTAAAGTTTTATGTTCGAGAGATTCGAAGACCAAACCTCCTCCTAAGCAACAGACACTATTCATCTTCCATCTCCAACTAGGGAACGGCAAAACTCCGACGACCCTAAAGATAAACGACGTCGTTTAGCATATGAGTTTTAACATCCACAAAACGGCGTCATTTTAGATGGATTGCTTTCTTATTCTGCCGTGCCGAGACGATTTGCGAGGAAGCTTGGAGCTTGTTGCTTGTAGTTCGTTGCGGCGTTTGTCTGAATTTTGTGGTTAGAAAATTTCTTTGTATCTTCTTTCATTGGATTCTTTGCTTCCTCAAGAGGTTAATCCCAGTTCCAGTTCTTTCACTTACAGTCTGCTTTGTCAAAAAACTCAAAATCATTCCTTTCTTTAGAGTCTCTGTGACTCTTATGTTCATTGCTCATTAGCTTTCGTTTAAAGCACAAATACTCTTTTTTTTTTAATGTGATTAAATCCCTGAGAGCATTATATGATTAGTTTTAGTCCTAACAGTCCTCTGTTACATGTGTATTATTGTCTAGTTTCAGTTTTGGTTGAGATATATAAATTCAGAACATTGGGAGTAAAGAAACGAGTTTGCTTTGAGAAAAAATGATTTATAGCTATAATGAAGGCTTTTTGAATCTTTGCTATCAGGTTTCGTTACTTACTCACTCTGGTGAAGCCGAGTATAAAGATATGACAACAGTAAAAGAGGACCATTGTGAGGATTCTCCTCAGATGTATATGGGATTTGCTCTAGACCAGGTAATAACACTAGTATTGGTTGGTTTGTAATATTGCAAAATTTTGTTTCTTTTAGAGTTATAGTGGTTGATCTCCCTTTATTGCAGGCTAGACTTGCTCTGGAGGCTCTTGAAGTTCCCGTGGGGTCTCTTATCTTTGCCTTTGCTTCATCCCAATTTTGTGTTTCTTACAATTTTCATTAATGGTCATATAAGAGAACTAATGCTTCTTTTCATATTCTTTTTTCTGGATCAGATGTGTTATTCTTGAGGATGGTAAGGTCATTGCTTCAGGGCGAAACCGAACAAATGAGACACGCAATGTAATCATTCAAACTTTCAGAAGTAACTAAGCTTGATAATTTATATCTGTTCTAGCTATAAACTAGTTTCTTCAATTATATTAGATAGTCTATCTTTCATTATGTCTCTCAGGCTTAATTTTGTTGAGTTATAGAGAAACATATGATTGTTACCGTAACAATTTTGTTTGGAGACAGGCCACAAGACATGCAGAGATGGAAGCAATTGATCAACTAGTCGGACAATGGCAGAAAAATGGACTCTCACCTTCACAAGTCGCTGAGAAATTCTCGAAATGCATTCTTTACGTAACATGCGAACCTTGCATAATGTGTGCATCGGCTTTATCGTTTTTCGGTATGAATTCCTTAAGCTGAATTAGTTATCTATTGTTTTGTTTTGTTTCTGATGAGAAATTATATGCCCTGCTCTTAAATCGAAGGTATAAAGGAAGTGTATTATGGATGTGCAAATGATAAATTTGGTGGATGTGGTTCGATCTTATCGCTTCACGTAGGCAGTCCTCAGCCGTCTGATACTCGGTAGGTTCTACAATCACACAACAGTCCTATAAAAAAATGCCTCATCAATTGAATTCTGTTGGTTACAGGGAAGAAGCTCAGAGAGGCAAAGGGTACAAGTGCAGAGGAGGAATCATGGCAGAAGAAGCTGTCTCTCTTTTCAAATGTTTCTATGAGCAAGGCAATCCCAACGGTAACCACTCTCATCTTTACCTGCCAGCTCTATTCCTTTATGAAACATCTCCAGAAGTTTTTTATGTTTCTTGTGTTTATTTCGTTATAGCCCCAAAGCCACACCGCCCGGTAATTCAAAGAGAGAGGACTTGAGGTTCATAGGACTCTGCATTGAAAGCTTGCTCTACAGAACAAATAACATGATTTGGGGACTGTAAGAACAACATCAAACCACTTAACATTGCCCCAAATCTCATCTCAATCGCGTCTTACAATCCAAGAAAGAGACTCTAACGGGGTGTATTCAAAGTAGAATTTTAGGAGATTTGTGTAGGACTTATAAATCTAGTGTTATTCAAACATAAAAATTCTCATGAAATCCACTGTTATTCAACTAATGATTTCAAAATCCACCTTAAAATCCACTGTTATTGAAAACAATTTGTGGATTTGGCTTTGGGAGGATTTCCTTAGTTAAAAATAATGAAATCCAAATCCTATGGTTTTTGGTGAAATTTGAAAGGATTTTACAAAAGTTATATAAACTTCCCTAAAATCATCAAAATCATTTAAAAACTCAATAAAACTCAAATCTCTTAAAATTCCATTTTGAATACACCCCTCTATAGACTCTACCATGGTTCAATTAAACGTTTGTAATTTTTATTTAAATTTTTAATTATTAAAAATTTAATAAAAACAATTAATGAAAAGTAAACATAATGTGACGTGACTGTAATTTTTTCGTTTTCCAGATTTTTTTTTTTGGTGAAAATTTTCCAGATTATTATTAGTATATAACTATATATAGATTTAGCTACTTTTGTATCTTTTTTATTTTTTTAGGCAAAAGCTACTTTTGTATCTAATTTTGTAAAAAATTATGCTATATCCTCAGAAAAAGCTATGCAACTCGTGAAAGTACTTATGTCACATGCAGTTATATTAAAGAAGATTTTTGTGATTAAATACATAGATCCAAAGTATTAGGAAAATCTAATTACTAAAAAAATAATCAAATAATAATAAATAAAAACATAAATATTATACTCATTTTAAAAAAAACATTTATAACTAAATATTATAAAACTTATAGATGATATCTTTTTATCAAAACATGTCACTTTAGTATATCAATCCTATATATTTTCTTCCAATATATATACACATACATAGAAGATTATTATATGCAAACAATACCAAAGTCTTAAGAAAAGAGAAAAACATGTCCGACAAAAAAAAAGCGAAATTCCCAGAACGTCCAGGCAAAACAATATGCAGTTATTATCAAATAACAGGAAACTGTCATCTGAAAAAAAAATGCAAACTCCATCATCCTAAGGATATGAAGCCAGTAGAGCCTAATTTAGCTTACAATGACAAAGGCTTACCGTTAAGACCTAATCAAGCTACTTGCCCTAATTACAGTCGCTTTGGTCTTTGCAAATCTGGTCTTGCTTGTAAATTCGACCATTCTAATGAAGCATCATCCTCTGGTCACAAATGAAGAAAATGAATTTGATATTCCCTATCTTTCATTTATTTTAAATAATAATATTATAGAATGTTAAAAAATAAAAATAAAAATAATAATATTATAGTATTTATCCATATATGTAAACATCTATTTCACCTTATGTTATATAATGTATAAAAGAATTTTATCAATGTAAGGATCAATTTGATCACTTGGTATAAAAAATGGTCATTTTATGTATACTACAAAAAACAAAAAAAACCCCATTGCTAGCACAATATGATAGCTCAGATTTCGCAACTGCTATTATAGATGGTTTCCAATTTTTTTTAAATTATATCACAACGTTTTAGAAACGCTAAGACGTATAATCGCAAAACGGGAAGGTAAAACCACTTCGTAGTCCCAATGAAATTTTACAAAATATTATGTAACAAGATTGGGTTTGTCTTTTTCTATTTTAATCTAACCAAACAAGATCTAATTAAGTTAATAGACTTCAATGAGTACATAATGAATGCCTTAACAATAAAACCAAAACATGATCTTACCTTGTTTTAGTAGCTTTGGATGTTCTTGTATACTTACAAGATTAAACAAGAATCACAACAACAAACACTCCATGCCAAACTAGTTCTACAAATGCAATTTATGAAATTGATGAGACTAAATGCTAATCTTTACTTTAGGTAAGTGAATAATTTTAAGAGATATAAGCGTATCTAAAGTTTAACGATCTTTCATTTTATGATCTTGGGGGTAGACATTTACTCTTTCTTCGTTGTCACATGAAAGAAAGAACATAAAACATGTTCGTGAGCACATAACTAATCTCCAAAGGCGACTTGTAAACATGATCATATCCATTTTCCTTCATATTACACCCTAATACATTTACTTTGTAACTGATAATCGCAAACATGTTTCTTTTTGTTACGTATGATCGCATCTTTTGATTGTGAAATTTCATACAAATATTTTTATTTATTTTTCATAAACTGAAAGATAATTTTAATCTATTGTTCGTACTTTGAAAAGTTATGTAACTTATGTTCCATGGTTGTGTCTTTCCACAAAGTTGTATCTATTCATTTGGAGTTGTGTTTTTTTTTATAATCATATTTTGCTTGTATTTTTCATCATCTCAACTTTTCGTTTCCATATTATTTTTAACTGCAAACAAATATTAATAAGAGCGTAAATTATCCCCATAGAGGATTTTTACAAGACAAATTGGAAAAAAAAAATAATGAATTACACAATGATTAACTTCCAATAGTTTCGAATATTTAAATTTTCATGTCTTTTGAACTACCAAACCTTTGTTTCATGAGATGATTTTTTGTTTTGTTTTATGATTAACCCAAATACTTTGATTTTAATAGCCAACGATATTCTATACTCTCTAAATTATTTCTTGACATACATAATTTTAAGTTTAATAAGTTCTTGAAATTCTTGATCTAACTGAAGATTTTTGGAATGACTATACTAATGTAAAATTTTAACTTTATTCACTCATAATTAGACATATTATACTGGTAATTTTTTTGGTTTAACAATTGTGTATGGTTATGATGATGTTATAGTTTCTACTATAACTAGAAGTTGTAATGATATCAAATTTATCAAAAAACTGCAATAGTTTATCTGTTTATCAAATGTTACAATGGTTTAACTAAACGTTTATAATGATTCTCTTAAATGTAGGCATGTCAATTAGGGCTAAAGCCTGCGGGCCTTAATATAAGTCTGTTTGGACTAAGTAACATAAACCATATACTAAACATGCAATGATTAATCAAAGAAAGTAATAGTTGTCGCGTATATTTATCAAATAATAAACTCAAATTACAATGGTTCAATTACACGGTCGTGATAATCTCTTTATTTAATAAAAAGAAATTTTAAAAAAATTAATGAAGAAATAACATAATGTGACGAGCCTCTAATAAATTGATAATATTTTTCAGATTGCTATTATTATATAGATATTTAACTTTTGTAATAATAATAACTTGGGTATCTAATTTGTAAAATATGATGTTTAATTATATCCTCTCAGAAAAAAAACAATGTAACCCATGGAAGTAATTATGTCACATGCTATTATATTAATAAAGAAGATCTCTATGATCAAACACATAAATCTAAAGTATTAGGAAAATCTAATTACTAAAGAAATAATCAAGTAATAATAAATGAAATAACTATAAATATAACATAATATTATAATTGTTTTTAAATTACAATTATGACTAAAATATTATAAATGTTAAAGATGATATCTTTTTTTCCAAAACATGTCATTTTAGTAATCAATCCTATATCTTCTCTTCCACTATATAATACACACACATAGAAGATAACCAAGTATGCAATCAAACAATACCAAAGTGTAAGAGGAGAGAAAAAAACATGTCTGATAAAAATTTACCACAACGTCCAGATGAACCATTGTGCAGCTATTATCAAATAACAGGAAACTGTAATATGAAACAAAACTGTAAATTCCATCACCCAAAGAATATAAAGCCGATAGAGCCTAAGTTAGTTCTCACTGACAATGGCTTACCGTTGAGACCTAATAAAGCCATTTGCCCCCATTACAGTCGCTTCGGTCTCTGCAAATCCGGTCCAAGATGTAAATACGACCATTCTACCAGACCATCATCCTCAGGTCCCAGATGATGGAAAAGATGAAACTGATCTTTCATATTTTCATTTTTATTCTAAATAATATTATAACATATGCAAAATATTCACCCTTTGTAATAATATATGAATTATTCTAAATAAAATTATAATATATGCAAAATCATGTATATTTTATTCACCCTTTGTAATAATATATGAAATAATGTTATTATTATAAGGATCTAGTTGACAACCATGGTATCAAAAATGTTCATTTCATGTAACAAGATTTGGATTTTTTTCTTTTCGATTTAAGCCAACCATACAAGGCCTAATCATAAACCCGAAAGAGGGTCTTACCTTATTTTAGTTCTTGTATACTTATACGAGTTTAAAACAAGGATCACAACAATAGACACTCAGATGCCAAACTAGTACTACAAATGCAATTTTTTATGAAAATGATGTGACTATATGCTAATCTTTACTTTATCTGAGTGGATACTTTCAAGAGAAATGAACCTACAAAACTTCTCATATCATGATCTTGGGTGTAGACACTTTAGACTCTTCCTTGGCTGTGTCACCTGGAAGATAGAATATAAAACCTGTTAGTGAACGCACAGCTGACCTCCAAAGAAGACTTCTAATCATGATCATATTCGTTTCCCCTTCCTGTTACGCTCTAATACATAATCGATTCTAAACTTCGTTTTGTCTTTGTAATTGATACGCGCAGACATGGTTCTTTATCAAACCCACAAAGCTAGCCTAGTGAACGCACAACTGACCTCCAAAGAGGACTTCTAATAATGACCATATCCGTTTCCCCTTCCTGTTACGCTCTAATACATATCGATTCTAAACCTCGTTTTGTCAAATTAATACGCGTAGACATGGTTCTTTATCAAACCCTACTTTGCTAATTGCATTTCCAATCAAAAGCACAGATCTCTGATTACACAATCTCAAACACCAAACAGATACAATTGTTAATAGAAAGCAAAAAGAGAGTGTTGATAAGTAGGGAATTACCAGATTGACTGGTTGTAGTGGTGACCTCGCCATAGATAGCCTTAAGCGTGGAAAGAGGAACAACCGCAGAGTTACCAGCAGAAGCAGCTTCAGCAAAGAGTTGTTGTTTCCACTCCCACATAGTGACTTTCATTGCCTTATTAGACTTAAAGAGCGAATCTTTCTGCTCTGCTAAGGCCTCAACATACTTCTGCTGTTTATCAGATCTCAATCCCAATACCACAAACGATACTCCAAGACAAGTGTTGATTACAGCATTGCTGTTCATTGCTTCCGAGAGCAACATTGCAATCTTGTTCGCCATTTCCAAAACTCTTAACTCACTAAGATCAACAACAGTTTCAGTATCGAGTCTACTACATAACTATACGCCGGAGATTAGATTCGTAAACAACAACGATGACAAAAAGCTCACATGATTCGGCTTAGAAGTTTTAATGGTGATACAATTACAAAAGTATGTGAGATCCATCAGACTGATCAATAAGGTAAAACGAAATCGATAATTCCAGAAAACAGAATAGAAAAGCAATAGGAAGAGAAAGAGAGAGGCTTACCTGAAATGAAGGTGCGTTGATGGCGACGGCGGTGAGGAGATATTGATACGGCGGCGCCGAGAGAGAGAACTCTGATTCCGATTTAAGTTGTGTTTAAGGAGGATATGAGTGTAGTTCTGATGTAATTACAGGGGTAGTTTAGGTATTTCAAATCCTTGAAAGACTTTTGCCAAGTAAGTAAAGTACCCAAACACAACAATGGTCATCGAAGATATATTTGTTTAAAAAAGTGTTAAAAGACGATCATCATCATCAACATCACGACATTTTCAAATTGTCGTCTAAAGGCTAAAGGCCAAAACTTTACAGGTGATTCGAACAGAGAATTTTCGAATCCTCTCTCTCCTTCCGACGTTCTTCTTGTTAGCCAAAGGTAAAGTAAAATGCTTCTTCTTCGTCTTCCTCTGTCACGAGTTTCACTATTTTTGGTACTTTCCTTAAATATCAAAAACCCTTTTTTTAATATAGATCGAGTGTTCGAGTTTCATATCGATTTCGGTTATGTAAACGAAATCTCGGAACCGATTTCGAGTTTTTCAAGTTCGAAATTAGTTTCTTAGGGTAAAATTCGTTGACTTGTGAAAAATTTCTAGGTCTACGGAACAGAAAAGTGTTGTTTTTGAAGATTTTTAATCTGTTGATCATCTTGTAGAGAGACTTGTTTACTTCTTCTTTCTGTAGTATTGAATTGACTTGTGGGAATTTTGTTGATTTTTCCACAGTTGTGTTGTTTGTTTCTGTGTATATATATGCTCAAAACCTTATCCTAATAGCTAAATTATTCGTATTTGGTTTCTACTGATAAGACTATTCTTTAAGGTTCTATGAAAGTTTTCATCTTTTCTCTTCTGTGATTACTAGTTACTACCATGAGCAAGATCTTGTTTTGCAACAGCATTTACTGAAATTTTTGTGTTTGTAATGTTTCTGTTCTTGCATATAGTATGATTAGCAAAATGTATTACTGAAGCATATATTCTTTTGGGGACTGCTCGTTGACAGATTCTGTTACAGTGTAGTAAGGTCGTGTGAGAGAAGAGTGTAATGAGCTGTTTTGGTTGGTGTGGGAGTGAGGATTTTCGTAACTCTGTTGACGCTGGACCTAGGCCAGCGCACAACCCAGCAGGTAGCTCACTTCTTATTTCAACTGCATTACTTGTCAGTGTTGCTCTTACTGTCTATCTTTTGGCTTCTAAGTTAATTGGATTTTAATTGTTCTAAAGGTTACAATGGAGGCCACTACAAAAGAGCTGATCCACCCATGAACCAGCCAGTAACTCCCATGCAGCCTATTTCGGTACCAGCCATTCCTGGGGATGAGTTGAGAGATATAACCGATAACTATGGTTCAAAGGCCTTGATCGGTGAGGGTTCATATGGAAGAGTGTTTTATGGTGTTCTCAAAAGTGGTGGCGCAGCTGCCATCAAGAAACTTGACTCTAGTAAGCAGCCAGATCAAGAATTTCTTTCCCAGGTAGGTGTTATAATATACACCGTTGCATTTTTTTAGTGGGGTTCATATCGTGAAATATCGCCAAAATGAATTGCCTCGGCTTAACCTAACCACTATGTGTCCTATGTGAAACTGGTCCAGCATCAAACCACTCCTTTGACTTTGAGTATGTTCTTCTCTTTCTGTTTGATTACTGACATAGATTTTTTTAACAGATATCAATGGTTTCGAGATTGCGACACGACAATGTTACTGCACTTATGGGTTATTGTGTTGATGGCCCTCTCCGTGTTCTTGCTTATGAATTTGCTCCTAACGGATCTCTTCATGATACTCTCCATGGTGAGTAATTAAACTTAAACCATTGCTTAGATATATATCAGTCACTCAATATACTTGAACATTGGAAAGTTACAGGAGGAAGAAACTAATGAAAACGTGGTGATCTTTGGTGTAGGCCGAAAAGGTGTCAAAGGAGCACTGAGAGGTCCTGTTATGACGTGGCAACAGAGAGTTAAAATCGCTGTTGGTGCAGCCAGAGGACTTGAGTACCTCCATGAGAAGGTGAGCCCTCAGGTTATCCACCGAGACATTAAATCCAGCAACGTACTTCTTTTTGATGATGATGTTGCCAAAATTGGTGATTTTGATCTGTCTGATCAAGCCCCTGACATGGCTGCTCGCCTTCACTCAACTCGTGTGCTAGGAACCTTCGGCTATCACGCTCCAGAGTAATACCCTTTAAAGATTTTCTTTATCTTGAACAGTTACTGTTAGAATGTTTCATTCAGACACGTCTTCATTCAAAAATGTTTGGTTCTCATGCTATAACGTTATGAAATACTTATTCATTCACATGGATTTTGGTTTCATACCACTTTTTTTTCTTACCTGTACGTGCTCTTGTATCTCTTCTCATTGACGAATCTAAAGCTTAAACATTTTTGCTATGTATTTCAGATATGCAATGACAGGAACGTTGAGCTCCAAGAGCGATGTGTACAGTTTTGGTGTTGTTCTGCTGGAGCTCCTTACGGGTCGTAAACCAGTCGATCATACCTTACCGCGTGGGCAACAAAGTCTAGTAACATGGGTAATGTTTAGTGCAATCTTCTCTGCTTCTAATTCTTGTTTGTGGCATCGATAAGAGAGGCTTTTAAGAAATATTTTTAGTTAAACTCTGTACTCATTTAGTCTGTTAAAAATGACAAAAATGGGGTCAAAACCTCCAAGAAACTTGGAAAAAAAAAAAACCCTCCTCACACGCCTATAGAATTGAAACTAGGATGTCAAAACAACTAAAGACGCTGGAAAAAGACAGAATTTTGTTTGAATAGATTAAGGCGACTCTAAAATGTTCCCTAGAAGGCTAGAAATGATTTATTGTTGCTCAATAATAAAGATGTTGTGTGTTGTCTCAGGCAACCCCAAAACTAAGTGAAGATAAAGTGAAGCAATGCATTGATGCAAGACTACTCGGAGAGTACCCTCCCAAAGCTGTTGCCAAGGTATTAATATAAAAATTGCATTCCTCTCATTGTTTCATTAGAGCATAAAAGTTTCAACTAAGAACACTAGTGTATCTTCTGAGTGCTGACATTAAAGTAGCTAAAACCACAGTTCTGATGTGACCTTTTCTAGCAAACGCCAAATAAACCAAGTGATAATTGCTGTCCGCATTCATCTATATGACGATTGAAACATTTCATGAGTCTGATTTTTATTTGCCATATGGTGCGATATAATGATCAGCTAGCTGCAGTGGCTGCACTCTGTGTGCAATATGAGGCAAATTTTAGACCAAACATGAGCATTGTGGTGAAGGCACTTCAACCTCTTTTAAACCCTCCTCGTTCTGCTCCTCAGACTCCACATAGGAACCCCTATTGATCAAATATACAATCCCCATCTCATCTTATTCATGATGATTAATCAAAGTGTATTATACATTTGTTCTGTATTTGTGTAAATTTCTGGGACCTTATCTCAGTAACTCTTCTGTCAAGTCCCACATGTGAAGAGCTATGTATGTCTCTATGTCACTATAGTTTATGTTTTCTGTGATTTAGTTTGTGTGGGGAGAACCAAATTTTGTTTGTTTGTTGTAAATTTATGTTTTAAAAAAAAAAAAAATTTCTTAATACTGATACTACATTATTTAGATGATGTTTTGCCACAAGTCTAGATGATTGGAATTTGCAATACACATCAAAACAAACCATAAGCTTGTTATGTCTCTCATATCTCGAACAAAAACTTCTCAAACAGTTTCATGTGTTCAGGTTGGAGGGCAATGGCCAAGGATAAGCTGCCATCATTTGTAGGACTTGGTAGCACAAAAGACAAACCCTCGTATGCAATTGCACCAGGTCCAACATATATGGGACGACCCCAACCAAAGTCTGCATCATACATGGGTAATCTGGCCCAGCTTGTGATTCCCAAGTTTGGGGATTTGTAGGTCTGTGCACCGCGGACCAGTGCTGACAGATCAGGCTGCATCTCAAGGTAGTCAAGAGCAGACCTCAGGTAGCTATCGTCCATGCTAGCTATAGCATCATGAATGATCCCTGCAGCATACGATGTTGGCTTTGATAGAAGATCCCCTACAACAGTCAATGGTGCCGCAGCAAAGACCACATTGCCAAAGAAACCAGGGGGCAGCTGCGGACGAAACCTAGACCTTCCATCAGTTGCAATGTACAGCTTGGTCTCTTGGTCGTCTGGAAGTCCGCGAGCTTTGCCCACTGATCTCCACACGTGGGCAGCCAAGACCTCGTATGAGCTATAGCTTAGAGTGTTCTCCTGATTGGATTTAGCCTTAAGAGAAACAAGCAGGTCGCGTGATATTTTGAAAATAGACACTGTGGTATCATCAGGGACTGGTTTGGATGACAGGATCCTCATACTAGGGGAAGGCTGATATTCAACATGATGAAAAGCAGCCTGAGGCGGGTATCTAGCGCGGAGGAGAGTTCGGTCAATGAAGGGTTGAATGGTAAGGTCAAGACCACGGGCCATATCAGACCATGTATTGATAAAATGGAGAGCAGAGAAACCATCAGCCACGTGGTGTTGCATTCCAACCCCAAGGGAAGCTCCCCCACATTTGAAGAAGGTCACCTACTACATCAAGGAACTAGGGTCAAGCTAAGCTAAATTAAAGAAAGACAAGTAGAAACCTAAAACACAAGGCACCGCTTAGTTAGTATGCTATGTATAAAGAGGTTTGAAAAGGGAAAGAATTTTTAAACCTGCAAGACGAGGAGCGGGAAAGTGTGGACGCCGATGGAGTAATCAACATGGGGAATAAGCAGGCCGAGAGTGGGTGTAGGAGCAAAGTCCCCAAAATCGTCAATGGCAGAGGGAGTATCAGCAACGACGAAGAGAACACCCGCACCGTTGCAATCAATCTCGATACGACCATCATCGTCCTTCTTCAAGCGACCAGCCACGGGGTAAAAGGGGACGAGAGCCTTGGAAAGAGCGTCCTTGAGGACCTGAGGGTCAAAGAAACTGGAGTCGCCGGTTGGTCTGTAGAAGTAGACGCTAGGGGTGTGGTACTTAGCCATGATGAGGTCAACGTTAGAGTTCCAAAGACTAGTGATTGGGGTCTCGGCAGCAGGACGGACCATGGTGGAATCTTGGATCTTAATTTTCATAGTATTGTTACAAAGATCAAGCAGAGAAAGAGTTTATGTTTTGACTCTGAGCCGAGAAATTGTGTAAATATATAATAAGTGGGTGTGGTGGTATTGTAAACTTCGGCGCTTCTTCATCACTCGGTCGTTATATATTTTTCTTTCTATATTATTATTGATCAGCCGCCCAAACAATACAAAATGTTGTCTATCCATCCAAATCTAAATCATATTTTAAAGGAAAGTTCACTAAAATATATTTGAAGTCTTTAAAAAGTGTTAAACGTTAGGTAAATTTAAAACTAAATGACATATTTTTATGTTTGATGTTCATCTAGTGGTGATAGAAACAAAACAGCTATAGCCATAATTGGAGATAAGAACCACCTGCATCGAAGGAGCTTTAATTTAGTGGTAATTCTTGGGGGGTGGCGACGATGCTATGCGGCGCGCCTTGAGAACCCATGAGCTCTCTCGTCCGTTTTAATACTTTGGTTGTTTGGGAGATGTTGACTATAATTCATTGAAGGAGTCTTTTAAGTTCATGACCAATGTTAGTAGACTTGTTCCAAGTTAGTACCAACAACGGCGACATTGTCATCTAATTATTTAAAAATTGGTTGACAAATCATTAGACATTTTCATAATTCTCATCTAAGAGGGTAACACAAACATAAAAAAATTCAACGTTCATCATAGAATTTTGTTTTTTCTCTCTTTCGAAGTTTTAATTTCTTCAGTTCTGATATGAACATTACATGTATGTGAATTTTTGCTGATTACCATAATTCTGGTTGTGTGTATATATATAGCTCAAGTTTCCTGAGTCAAACCATTTTGTCCATTACAAAATGAAACAAGATGATCCGATATTGTTCTTTTGGAAAACAGTTTTGTAGCTTTTGTTTTGGTAGAGAGATCATAAGATCACTGATCTTACGGTCTTACCACTTTACTCTCTTTTCTTAGATAGCCGAATTTTCTTTCGAAACTGTTTGTTGTCTCTATATAACAAATGTTTATTTTTTTATACAAAATATATAAGTTAATGGGATTAAATTGTTTTATAAGAGGTTACAACGGACGCCACCATCAAAGAACAGATTCATTCATGAACCAGCTAGTTGTTAGTCACACGCAGCCTATTGCTGCACTAGCCATTCCAGTGGATGAGTTGAATGATTTAACCGATAACTTTAGTTCAGAGGCATTAATCGGTGAAGGTTCAAACGGTAGAGTGTTTTACGGTGTTCTTAAAAGCGGTAAAGCAGCTGCCATCAAGAAACTTGACCATAGTCACCAGCCAGATCATGTATTTCTTTCTCAGGTAGATACTATAAAATTAAAGTACATTATTTCAGTTTTTAAGGGTCTCTTCATCACCGAAAAGAATTGAACATAGACCGTATGTGTCATTTGTTAAATGATCTAGCATCAAACCATTTCTTTGGAAATGTTCTGTCAACTTTTAATTGTCAATGATATAGAGAAAATTCTAACAGGTATCAATGGTTTCAAGATTTCAACACGACAATATTGTTGCACTAATGGGTTATTGCGTTGATGGCCCTCTTCATGTTCTTGCTTTTGAATATGCTCCTAATGGATCTTTTCATGATATTCTTCATGGTGAGTGGTTTATGTAATCCATATTACATTTCTTGGAAATGGATCAGTCACTCAATAGTTATACATCTGAACACTAATATACAAGAGAACATAAACTATGCAATGCATGTGGTGTCTCTTTCCGTGGTACAGGTCGAAAAGGTGTCAAAGGAGCACCACGAGGTCCTGTTTTGACGTGGCAACAAAGAGTCAAAATCGCTGTTGGTGCAGCCAGAGGACTCGAGTACTTGCATAAGAAGGTTAACCCTCAGGTCATCTACCGAGACATCAAATCCAGCAACATACTTGTGTTCGACGATGATGTTTCCAAGGTTGCTGATTTGGATATGTCTGATAAAGTCATTGACATGGCTGCTCACTTCTACTCAACCGGTTGTGTGATAGTAGGAAGCTTTGGTCATAGGGCTCCAGAGTAGATATTTTTATTTTATCAATTCTGATCATTCATAGTGGTGTTTTGTCTACACGTCTTCTTTAAAAATTTTGGGTTATTTATTTCAGATACACACTGACAGGAACATTGAGCACAAAGAGTGACGTGTACTGTTTTGGCATTGTTCTGCTGGAACTCCTTACAGGTCGAAAAGATATTGATTTCACCTTACCGCCTGGAGAGATGAGTCTAGAGAGATGGGTAGTGTTTAGTGCATCTTTTCTTTCTTCTTTTGATTCTTGTTTGCTTGCATAAACAACATCCAAAACCTCATATAGAGCACTTATAGCCTAAAATTTTGAAGATTAGGTTGTTCCAACAACCAAAGAAACCGGAAAAAAATATTACTCCCTCGGTACCTAAAAGATAATTTTTCTAGGTTTTTCATACATATTAAGAAAACATCTAATTAAAAATTGATGAAAGAGAACTATATCATTTTTTGTGATTCACCGCTTTTTTTAACTCTTAACCAATAGTATTTAGTTATTTACCTTGAAATTTGTAAATTCTAATTAATAACGCATTGATAACTTAAAACAATAATCTTTTTGAAACGAAATTTTTCACTATTAGGAACAAAGAGTGATTAGTAAGAAAATGAAATATGTTGATTAATCATCAAGATGTTATGTGTTGTCTTAGGCAATCCCAAAAATAAGCAAAAACAAAGTGGAGCAATGCGTTGATCCAAGGCTACTCGGAGAGTACCCTCCTGAAGCTGCTGGCAAGGTACTTAATCCAATAACACTGATTTTTCCTCTTATTGTTTCATTGGAGCATTAGAGATTTAACTTAGTTTATCTGCTGACATTAGAATCAAAGTAGCGAGATCACATTCACATCAAAACATTTTCATGAGTCTGATTTTGTTTGCTATATAGATATGGTGGGCCGGGATATAATGGTCAGCTAGCCGCGATGGCTGCACGCTGTGTGCGTATTGATCCAGATTCTAGACCAGACATGAGCATTGTGGTGGAGTCACTAGAATCTCTTTTAAAACCTCCTCGTTGAGCTCATCAGATCTCAAAATAGGAAACTCTATTGATCAAATATAATATCCAATCCTCATCTCATCAGCTTCATGATGATTAATCAAAGTGTATTATTTGATTTGTAGTAAATTCACTAATACTACATTTTGATTGAGATGGTGTTTTGCTACATTTCTATATATTATAGTACCTATGGTTCTACTTCTATATTTGTATATATCACCCGCCTTTTGAGGCTACCTCATATTTGTGTTAGATAATTTGGTAGATAGCAATAATTAATAATTAGTAGTATTTTCTTAAGTAAATGATAAGTTCTCGACTTTATGTTAGCAAATGACAAAAATGAATTGTAAAAAACTTGGAATAAAATTTAATGCATTATTGATGGTGAGAATGTAAAAGATAATGTTTTTAAACCAAACATGAGCATCCTCGTCAAGGCACTTCAACCTCTTTTAAACCCTCCTCGTTCTGCTTCTGAGACTACAAAGAGGAGGAACCCCTATTGATCCCAATCCCCATCTCATCTTATTCATGATGGCTAATCAAAGTGTATAATACATTTACTTTGTTCTGTATTTGTGTACATTTATGGGACCTTGTCTCAATTTTGAGACCTTACATTAAATGTCTCTAGGTCATTAACTCATTATGTTTTTAAGTTTTTTTGGTGACGTAGTTTGTGTGGGAAGAATAACCCAATTTTGTTTGTTTATTGTAAATATTTCTTTATTTATTTATAATCATAAATCTATTATTTCGAAAATTCATTTTTAAATTCTATATACGTATTTTCATTGATGATGCTTTGCCACATCTCTTATATATGATGATAGGAATTGATAATATACGTCAAAAAGGTGAAGTTCGTTTGGCAGTCACAAGCTTCCTAGTTTCTGCGATTGCCATTGCAGTTAAAAGTTATTCATTTGACAATTGAATGGTTTTTTGATTAAATGCTACGATTAATTCTTGCGACATCAATTAAAAAGAAAATTTTCGCAGAAAAAAACAGCGAGGCAACATTTTTAATTTTGATTAGACGCAGCGATCAGTCACTCGACTATAAAACGAACAATATATTGTGAAATCACAATACGCTCATTAATATCAGTGTACTGTGCAAGAAAACAATCAAATAATAGCCGTATTAAGTGGCGACCGTTGGGGAGAGGTGACCAACAACTACGCTAATTAATATTCGTGTACTGTGGAAGAAAACAATCAAATAATAGCCATATAATATTAGTGTACTTATGTAACTTTGACATTTCAAACATGAATGAATCTCTCAGAGACATATAATATATATTTGATGAAAAAATTATTATTATTACCTTCTAATATTTTGAGTTTTTTTTTTTTGGTGATACAAAGGGAGGAAACCTCCCTAATTAAAAGAAAACGAAAAAATTAAAAAAAAACAAAACACAAATTCTTCGTGGGAACGCCATTTCACGAGCATTTTCTTTAACAATCTCCTCAACACACCCCGGAGCAATACCCAAAAACTGAAGATCCAAGTTTAGAGCAAACGCATAGTTAGTTAATCCGTCCGCCAGGCGATTAGCTTCCCTATACACGTGGGATATACGGACAATCCAGTCCCTCGATATAAAGCCATGTCACATCCGTACCAGGGAAGACAACGGATAAGCATCTCTGATCCCTGTCTTGAGAAAATCCACCACTATTTCCGAGTCCACCTCCAACTCAACCCGAGTAGCATAACTCTTGGTTTCTAATATTTTGAAACGGACGAGACAGCTCTTGGTTTCTAATATTTTGAGTTGGTACAACATTTTAATACCATCTTTATTTTTAGGTTTACGATGTGATGTGCGCCTCAAGAAACCAAGAGCTGTCTCGTCCGTTTCAAAATTTGAGTTCTTCAACATTTATTATTTAGGTTTGTATTGGTACGACATTTTAATACGATCACTTCCAACAGTATGATTCAGCTCAATTGTGTTAATAATATGAGGCCAAGTTTTAGTCATCTGGTTATTTAAAAAGTGATTGACAGATCATTAGACATTTGCAAAATTCTCATCTACACAACCTTTTCATAGGCACTATAGATTTATATGTTCACTGATTTTGTTTACTCGCTTAATATACATAGTGTACATTGTTTAGATTCTCAATAACATTATTCCATTTAACTTAAAAGTTCATTCTCAATAACATTATTCCATTTAACTTAAAAATTCTGACGTTTCTCAATAATTATTAAATCAAAAGTAGACCATAAGCTTGTTATATCTCTCTCATATCTCGTACAAAAACTTCTTAAACAGTTTCATGTGTTCAGATTGGAGAGAAATGACCAAGGATAAGCTGCCATCATTTGAAGGACTTGGTAGCACAAAAGACAAACCCTCGAATGCAATTGCACCAGGTCCCATAAATATGGGACGACCCCAACCAAAGTCAGCATCGTAAATGGGTAATCTGGCCCAGCTTGTGATTCCCAAGTTTGGGCACTTGTAGGTATGTGCACCGCGGACCAGTTCTGACAGATCAGGTTGCATCTCAAGGTAGTCAAGAGCAGACCTCAGATACTTATCGTCCATGCGAGCTATAGCATCATGAATCATCCCTGCAGCATACGATGTTGGCTTTGATAGAAGATCCCCTGCAACGGTCATTGGTGTGGCAGTGAATAACACATTGCCAAAGTAACCAAGGGGCAGCTGCGGGCGAAGCCTTGACCTTCCATCAATTGGAACGTACAACTTGGTCTCTTGGTCGTCTGGAAGTCCGCGCGCTTTGCCCACTGATCTCCACACGTGGGCAGCCAAGACCTCGTATGAGCTGTAGCTTACAGTGTTCCCATCCTGCTTGGATTTAGCCTTGAGAGCAACAAGCAGATCGCGTGATAATTTGAAAATAGAGACCGTGGTATCATCATGTTTGTTATTCATGCTAGGGGAAGGATGATATTCAACATGATGAAAAGCAGGCTGAGGCGGGTTTCTAGCGCGGAGGAGGGTTCGATCAAAGAATGGTGGGATGGTTAGGTCAAGACCACGGGCCATATCAGACCATGTATTGATAAAATGGAGACCAGAGAAACCATCATTCAAATGGTGTTGCATGCCAACTCCAAGAGAAACTCCCCCACATCTGAAGAATGTCACCTACTACATCAAGGAAGTTAAGCTAAGCTAAATTCAAGAAAGACAAAAGTAGAAACCTAAAACTCAAGGCATCAATTTTTAACCTGCAAGACGAGGAGCGGGAAAGTGTGGATGCCGGCGGAGTAATCAACACCGGGAATAAGCTGACGAAGAGCGAGGGTAGGAGCGAAGTCCCCAAAATCGTCGATGACAGAGGGAGTATCGGCGACGACGAAGAGAACACCGGCGCTATTGCAATCGATCTTTATACGATCATCATTGCCTCTCTTTAAGCGACCAGCCACGGGGTAAAAGGGGACGAGGACCTTGGAAAGAGCGTCCTTGAGGACCTGAGGGTTAAAGAAATTGGAGTCGCTTGTTGGTCTGTAGAAGTAGACACTTGGGGTGTGGAACCTTGGGATGATGAGGTCAACGTTGGAGTTCCAAAGACTAGTGATTGGGGTCTCGCCTGCAGGCCTGACTATGGTGGAATCTCGGATGTTAATTTTCATAGTTACAAAGATCAAACTTAAACAAAATAAAAATATTATGTTCTGAATTTGATATGTGATATTGTGTGAGGAGGGAGAGGAGGGGAAATAAATATGTGTCTCTAAATATGTTTAGACCATCCACAATGGGAGAGACCCATTGTGGGTTCTTTACAATATTTATAATATAAATTGTGCTAATTTTAAAAAATATGGGAAAACGTGGCAATCTTTTAGTGGCTGTTGCTTTGTGGACAAGGATGAATAAAGGTGGCAAAGGCCAAAGGGTGACGCACAGAATCATAAACAAAACTACATTTTAAACCCCTGCCAAACAAATTTTATTTACTTTTATCTGTTTTATATAAGGTTATTTTAAATTCACACATTTTAAGAAAACTATGTATCGGTCTACTTTAGCTTTTATAAATACACTTAAGTGTTTTTTTAAAAATTAATAAAGTCAAATGTTTAGGAATAAAAAAAATTAATCTTAAAAACTGCATTGCAAATACAAAATGATATTTTTATATTAATTGAATAATATATGTCTAATTCTAAACATTCGAATTAAAGTCTTCATTGTTTTCTTCTTCCCTTACATTTATTGCTTTCATATGATATTTGATGAAAAAGATAACTAATCCTTTTAGACGTTGATGTTTTTGTTCAGTTTCTCTCCTAATGAGAAGGAAACCATAACAATCACATTTTAACCACCATGTATGGGGAAGACTCAAAACAAGGAGGTGGAGAAAGCAAGTCTGGTGTCTATGGATTTAATCATAGTTGAAAGATAATAACAAAGAAAAGGCTACCAGTATCGAGCTTGAGTTGGAGAACAACGATGATAGGGAGGCATCAGAGGAGGAGGAGATCCTTTTTGTAAACGAGGAAACCGATCTTGAATGAGGATATCTGCAACTTGACAATATGGTTTGTAGATAGAACCCAAACCGACATCCACAGAAACTGTGTGGCCATGACAGTAATATTTAGGGTCGTAGCAAATTGATGAATGGTGCATAGCTTTCAAAGTTGCCCGTCGCTTGACTCCAGTTCCTGGAACCTTCTACGGTATCATAAATCTATGAAAGCCAGATCATGTTCTCTCGTTGGGGTTTGGTTCTGTTTGTCTAGCTAAAAGTTCCATGGGAAATATGAGTAGAGATGGCAATAATCTTGAATTTGTGACAGTGAGATGAGTAGAGATAGCAGTTATACACTATGTAAAGAATTTTGAATTGTGTGAATTGAGATAATGATATATGCAAAATCTAAAAGCAAAGTGCCTAACCATGCCATTTCACAAAACATTTAGTTAAAAATTTAAGATATTTTATATATAATGAAAAAATTTTAGTTTAAAATATAATTTATAAAAAACCTTACAACTTATTAACTAGGCGTATTAAATTTACAATCCGTGAAAACATGTTGAACTTTTACACCAAACTAACGGACCACAAAGGGACTGGATGCTAGGTCGGGTTTGTTTTCAACGGATTGTAATTTAACACTTATTAAACAAGTAATAAAGAAAACATTTTGGTCAAATTAAAAATTAAAATTATTTACTTGAAAATTATTTGGTAAAAACCTTAATATTTAGTTTTAAATCATAAAAATTAAAAATGAAGAAACAGAACATCTTTTGTTTTTTTTTTTGTGTATATTTTAAATCAAAATCATTAATCTTAACTTAAAAAAAAAGTATGAAGGTGTATAATATACCTGCAAGACTCTTGATCATCCTGAGGCGACTTGGTTGTTGGTCTAAATTTTGAAACCACAAAGGAGACGGAGCAGCTTCCTGTTTGTTACACACACAAAAAAAATCAGAGATGTCATCTTTTATTTCATAGAACCACAAAAATTAAATTAAAAGATGATGACTATTACTAACCTGCTAAATACCTCGAGTTACTATATAATCCTCCTCTTATGGATTGCTTCTCTTGTCCAAGTAAATATAAACGTTGACATATGATTGTCCTTTTCTCTTTTCTGATAAAGCTTCTCGAGGCCACGTTTCATGAGGGGTTATGTGATAACTTACCCACTCAGGTTTTGTGATCCTCGCAAATTGATGGATGCAAATGAACCACCTGCCAACCAAGAATTCTAAGCATGAGTAAAAACACAAGAGAACAATGTTTAAATGGAAACAACAATATAAACTGACTTGGTTGTCTTTGGCTGTCAAGTAATGGCTAGTGCGCTCTAAGTGAGGTCTTGCTTACGTTGATATAGTAGTTAAAATGAGTGCTGCTTCAAGTTGAATCTTGACATTATCCGGACTAGCTTACTATCTAACATTGCCTGCAGATTTTGATGCAAGTTTTCACAGCACCAATTGGGATCTTCATGGACTGTGAGTGAGAATTTACATTGACCAAGTTAGTTACAGTAAATTTTACTTGTCTAAAGCGGAGCTATAATCAAACGAGGAAGAGAAAGGGATAATCACTTACTGTTTTGCTTAAAAGCGTTGTAGACAATCATCAATGTGTCCAAACCTAGCATCTGCTGCTCTTTGAGCCTCTCTAGGCCGGATAAAGCAGAGAAAGAATTGGTGTTTATAACAGAAGAGGTCAATGGAAGAGGCAGCAGCAGATGCATAGAGTGAGGCAATGAGACTGATACTATTTGCTTCATGAGAGAGTATAACTGAGAAATTGCAACTAGTATTTATCTGCATCAGCACTTACTTAGGATACACTTAACCATGGGTATGCAGAACCCAAAATAGAGACTGCTTGTGAGATAACACCTAACTCGAATACTTAAATCTAATTGATAATCATATACATATGGAAGAAGAAGATGAGTTCTAATGCACAGTAGACTAGTTGCAGAATGGAAATTGGTAGCAATTTAAGCTTACCCTTAACTTACCTAACCGAAGCTAGCAAGAATATAAAACAAGAAAAGTGAAGTTTGAATTCATGACTAACTATGAGCATACGACTGAAACCGAGAGAATCTGTTTTGAGCAGTTGAATTCAGGACTCACAATGAGCATCTTCACCATATGTGGTGGATCCAAGGGGAACTGATCACTCATTATCTCAACTGTCGTTGTCAAGTGACCTTCATCATGCAGATGCAGTGCTCTTCCAAGTAATTCTAAACTTCTACATCAGCGTTTCAGGAGCATGAGGATCTATAAAACCCGAAGTGGACCACCTGGTCATCAATACCCAGTTTTGTCAAGGTCAGAACTGTGTTTCATCTCAGTACTGAAACTCTAGTCTGTAAAAAGCCTATAAAAACTCTTCTCTGGTGATCAGAGCAGGCACTTGCCTTTGCCTACGGATTCACAACCACATATATAGTTAGGGAAGCAACAGCAATGTTGCAACTCTACGATGCATCCAACCAAACCACTTCCTAGGCTTATCCACAAATAAACGATGAGATATTGAGATGTAAATACTAACCCTTACGGATCATCATCGCATCGGTTTGCTTTGATTTCAATAAGTCTATCTACTTATATGGATCATCATCATCATCTATCGGAATTTACAGCGACTCTGCATGAACATAGAAGAAGAAGAAGAGAGAGAGTTTTTGATTTCTCTCTGAAGGAAGAATGAAGAAGAAGGAGCGTTAAGTAGAGAGAGAGATAAACGAATTAATTAAGAAGTTCAAAAGAAAAAGGAAACTTTATATTAATCTAATAACGGTCATATTAAATATAACTTTTAAATGGAAATTAAGAGGTTTTGTTTCTTTCTTTTTTCTTCATCCCAACGGTAATAAAGTATATACTGTATATCTTTCATATTACAGTTTCTAACGGTCAACTTTTATTAATTTTGTAAGAGTTAATTTTAAAGACAAATAGTTTTGGATGATGTGGAAAATTTCAGAATTATTTTGTCAACTTTTAGATAATTTCTAATAAGCTTGTTCTAAAATTTCAAATTTCAATTATTGAAACATGCAATTCCTTTAGTATCATGTTTTTATAAGTAACAAATTTTTAATACCCAACCGTTAAGAATTAAAGAGTAACGTGTGATAAATTATTTGAATGGAAACATATATAAACTAAAATTCTAAAATAGAGAAATTTGAATATTGATCGGGTCGGGTCGGGTTTGCTAACGGTCTAATCATAATTTAGAGTACAATCGAAACAGAGCAAAACCTAAAAACCAGAGGTTTTGGCGATACACATGGGAACCAACAAGCTCAATCCCAATCTCCAAATCTCCGTCTCTTTCTTTTCGATTCCAAAACAAACCCTAAGACCCACTTCCAAAATCTCAGCGTTTCAATCATCCTCGAAAAACGAAGACGAAAAGTGAGGAAAAGAAGATGATTGATTGCGAGAAGTACAAAGCTCGACAAGAAGATCATGAAGACACCCAATTCAAGTGGACGAAGAGGTGTTGTAAATGCACTGGCTAATAAACTTGTTAAGCATAGCCTTCCTAATAACTCTTTCTTCATATTTCCTTCTTGGACTCCTCGTGTAATAATTGATGCTCTGCTCAATAAGTAATATGAAAGAAAAAGAAGACTAGTAATTAAGCTTCATATGAGCAACTAATCGAGCTAATTTATATATAAGTGGTGCATTACGAAACGAACAACATCTAGTAATTTTAAAATCGTACTTTTTTTTTTATTTGCAATCAATCGGGAATTACGAAACGAACAACATCTGGTTATTTTAAAATTGTAGTCGTAGTCGATCGATGGTGTCGCTCGTTATTATTAGTGTACTGTGCAAGAAAACAAAATCGGTTAATATTTACTATCGACCGTTGGGGGAGTGACCGACAACTTTACCATGATGCGATGCGCGCCTAAAGAAAAACACAAGAGCTGTCTCGTCCGTTTCAATACTTGTATTCTTCAACATTTTATTGTTAAAATTTATTGGTACAACATTTTAATACGATATCTCTTTCAACAGTTATGATTCAGCGTACTATGAAAGCAGTATTGTGATAATGTCTTTCGGAGTTGAACAAAACATGAGGCCAAGTTTTAGTTATCGGGCCAATTAATCGAGTCCATGTATTATTCCTCATGTTCTTCCTCGTTCAGTAATGTTTAACTGATCATACACGCTTCTCTCAATCCAAAGTTAGCTAAGTTAACTTTAATTCGTTAGTTAACTAACAATAAAACGATGTATAACACTAAATTAAAGACTTGCGACAACAAATATTGTTAGCATGTTTAATAACGAAGGTTCTAAGAGCACCTCCAATGAATGTATCTTAAACTATTTCTTAGTAATTAAAAGCCAAAAAATTGTATCAAAGTTAAGAAGTTTAGACAATGTTTCTTACTTCTATGTGTTGTGCTCTTATTGGTTTGAGTGAAAGAAAAAAAATGTGGTAATGCTTTTTGACCCAATGAAGAGTTTTAATTTTGGAGTGGATAATTTTAATTATCTTCAAAAAGTTCTTAGTTTTAAAAAAATACACAATTTGTTACTAAGAAATTTTAATAATATACACCCATTAGAGGTGCTTTAACTGCTTCTCTGAAAATTGGCATTGGGAAATTAAGTCCAAAACCGAAAAGTAACATAAGCCGATCAACATTGACATGCTTTCATGTGATTCATGCACTTGTGTCTCCACAAAACTAGAAGCCTCTTAATGATACAAATCGACTCATTTTTTTTGTTTTTATTTGACGTAACATTACAGAAAACATTATCCTTCCTTGTATTAGTTGCTCCACTGTAAGTATAGAGATACAATTTCATATCTTATAATTGTTAGTTTTTTAAATTTGAGAATGATTCTGATTTGTATGTTTTTACGAAAAAATATATATTATCACCAACATTTTATAGAATATACAAGAAAAAATCGACGGAGAGTTTCCAATCGCTACCGTACCAAGTGTCACTGTTTAGCTGCATGCTATGCCTCTACTACACTTTGATTAAGAAAAATGCTTTTCTCCTTATTACCATTAACTCCTTCGGCTGCGTCGTCCAGACTATCTACATCGCCATGTTTCTCGCTTACGCCTCCAGGGACAAAAGGGTAAAACTTAACTCCCTCTCGTTCGTCCTCATCATTGATTAATTACGCTTAATTAAATACGATGACTAAAAGATGATCATTGTCATGCGTTTTCTATTATCATCGTTGCAAGATAATAACAAAGAAAAAACTACCACTATTGAGGTTGAGTTAGAGAACAACGATGAGGGGGACGAGGAGGAGGAGAAAACATAGCTAGAAAAGGAAGACTAGAACAACGATCTTGAGTGAGGATATCTGCAACTTGACAATATGTTTCGTGCGTTCATGGAGCACATGGTTGGTAACTATGTAGAACCCAAACCGACATCCACATAAGCTGTGAGGACGGCAGCAGTAATCTTTGGGGTCGTAGCAGATTGATGAATGGTGCAGATATAGCTTTCAAAGTTGCTCGTCGCTTGACTCCAGTTCCTAGCATTACCTGAACCTTCCACGGTATCATGAATCTAAGAAAGCCAGATCATGTTCCCTTGTTGGGGTTTGGTTCTGTTTGTCTAGCTAAAATTTCCATGGGAGATCTAAGTAGAGATTAAGTAATCTTGAATTTGTGATAGTAATATGACTAGAGATAATAGCTATACACTATGTAAAGAATTTGAATTGAGTGAATTGAGATAATGATATGCAAAATCTAAAAGCAAAGTGCCTAACCATGTCTTTTTTTTTTTGACATTGCCTAACCATGTCATTTTTGCAAAACATTTCTTTTGAAATTCCAGACATTTATATATAACTAGATTTGGACCCGCACGTACGTGTGGGATTAATTTCAAAAACTAAATTTGCTATCATGTTTGCAATATATTATGTATATGTAGAGTTATATTTGTAAAAGACATTTCTTAACATTCATAATCCAAACTCGTACCAGTTCAGTATTTGATTTGTTTTCAATTTAGTTTAAACAAAAGTAACGATAAGATTTGGTTTTGTTACCCGTAAAAACAATTATATTAAAAAGTTATATAGTAAAAGAAAAGTGGTTGTCTATTTTAGACAGGATAAAAACAACTAAAAAAAAAAAAATTCAAACCCGGATGATAAAAATTCAAGCGGGTTAACACGTCTGCTATTCATACTCCGCAACCGATTAAAATATGTTTAACTCACCAATATATACATTTCACATTCTCCACATTAGTAAATGATATATTTGCATATGTTATGTTTGAATTCATGTATTACGCTAAATTTCCGACCCCACTTTTATTAGGAATACATATTAGGTAATGA